AAGAAAAATAGAGGGGAGAAGAGATGGTGAGAAAGGGGGGGGGAGAAAAAAAAAGAAAAACAAACAAAACACCTGGATCACCTGTATGGAGATAAATAAAAAAAACAGAAGAGAAAACAAACAAAAAAGAGCAACATAATAAATACAACACCATCACAATAGACTAGCTAACAGTAGCTAACAGTAGATACTAAATATTAAATATTATTGTGCAGCAATAACAGCGCACAATGTGCTTTGAGGTAGCAGCCAAGAAAGGTGTAGTTTGTGTCTGTGAACACCCGTGTGTACACCTGTGTGCACACCTGTGTGGATCAGCACGATTATATTCAGAAGGTTTCTCCATGTAATGATCTGCTAGGGAGTGTGGGGAGCCATAGTCCCATCCCCCAGAGCATGAAGCAGAACGAGATCCAGGCCCCAGACATCCAGAGGCCCCAGAGTACGAGGACCCAAGGAGGACCACCAAAGGGGCAACTGTGCCACCCTCCTGGGAAGAGAGGGCCAGAGGGGGTTGCAGTGACGTGCCCGCGGGCTCTGCCGGCAGCCAGCTGTGCCAGAGATTAACGAGCCTCAGACCCAGAGGCAAGAGGCCTGAGGGCACCCCACTCCCCGGAAGGGGCCCAGACTCGAGCCACCAGGAGTGAGTTGGTACATACATGAGCGCCCCAGACACCAAGAACCACCAACACACCAACGTTTGAGGCCATCACCTACCGGCAGGGAGTGTGGTGAGATAGGCCTCCATATCTCGGAGAGCCTGAGATGTTCCCAGAGAGGTGGAGTCTAAGACCCAACCTGACACAGATGAACAGGCGCACGCAGACACAAACGTGCAGACACAAACGTGCAGACACAAACGTGCAGACACAAACGTCCCTTCCCACCCCCATATACACAAACAAATACTCGGCACTCACCCGACGAGGAGACAGACACAAATAGACACTGTACACTGTACACACATTCACACTCCCCAAACATACTCTATATCCCAGGTCCAGGTGCCCCTGCCCCCAGAGGGTTAAAAAGTACTTAGACCCAGGAGATGTAACCCTTCTCTCTGGGGTGGAGGCAAGCAGACTGCCTTCTTATCTGCAGTAGCAGGGAGGCCCCACATCCCAGACCCCGATCTGACGGCCAGCACCTCCTCCCAGCCCCCAGCCCCGACGGTTAACAGAACGGGGGTGAGTGAAGACCCCAAACCTCCCTCCGCCCGCTCATATGTACTGTTGCTGCGTGCTGTTCTAAAGTGCATTTAAAACACAGGAGGGCATGGTGCTTCCTGCCAGAGAGCAGCACGTCTCCTCCCGAAAACCCTCAGTGTTTGTATGCATTTAAAATTGAGGGTAGGGCACCAGCGCCAGAGGTGGGTTTGAATACACAGAGCATCCTCTGGACGCTGTATAACGTGCCCACCCCCAAGGCCCTATATGTATGTGTTATGAGAGTATGAGTAATGTGGATGTCTAGGTTGCGGAATAAAATTGAGGCACAGGTGGCCAGAAGGGGAGTGCTTCCCATGCACCCTGGTGACACACCTGCACCCCAAGCCCTGCGTGTGTGGGTGGGTGTGGTGGAGCAGGAAGAGGGAGGCAGCTGAGGATGGGGAAGGAAGAAAGGGAGGGGCAAGCGGCCCTCCCTGGGGCCAGCTCCCCTGCTGACCCCAGTAGGCACCCCCACATTCTGGAACCCACCAGGGTAAGGGGGCCCAGGCCCATCCGGACCGGGGCCCACAGCAGCAGCACCGCCCAGCCCCACAGAGCCCGGGACAGCCCACTCGACCCATCATCCAATCATTTCCCAGACTACACAAGACAATAGACACCCAAGTTGAGTTCATTCTCCACCTCTCCTATATCTCTCCCCCACCTGCAGAGTGAGCTCCTGTAGAGAGGAGACCTATTGCAAAGATATAGCAGCCTCCCCACCAGTTAGAGAGCCCTCCAGTTGGGCCGATGCACCAGAGGTCCCCCGCACTGGGGCTGAGCCCCCACGCACCCTCCCGCCCACAACCCCGGCGACACAACAACCAGGACCCAAGCCCCCAAGGCCCAGCCAGAGCCCCAGCCCGGGGGTGGAGCACCCCCAGACCCCCAAGCCCTCACGCCCATCCCGCACCCACCCAGGGGCAGCCAGGCTCCCGGGCCAGTAACCAACGTCTGCCAGCACAGACCCTCCCCCATCTCCGCTGTACGCAGCCACAAGGAAAACACCATCTAAGAGCCACCAGAGCCCCTAACTACATCATGGCCACAACCCCTGGGTTAGGCCCTCCAGGGAAAACGTTCCTAGGGAATCCCCAGACGCCCTAAGGCCGTCCCTACCCCGATATCAACCACAATAGCGGAGGCAGGAACAAACCATGACCCCCCACCCCCACTAGGTGATGAAGCTGATCAAAGGAGCCCAGAGGGATTGATCAAATGTAATGGCAGAGGCTGTATCAAGACTAATGTGATCTATTAGATGGTTTTTATATTGGTTAGAATTAAGATTATTTTTATTTTTCCAGTTAATGAGGACCGTTTTCTTGGCAATGCATAGGGCCGTAAAAACAATGTGGGCTGTGTTTATTTCTGTAGTGACCTCATCCAAGTTGCCCAGCAAGCATACTAAAGGGGAGGCGGGAATATTACATTTCAGACACTTTGATAAGTCTTCACATATCTCGCGCCAAAACGTCTGAACTGGTGGACAGAACCAAAGAGCGTGGATATAATTGTCCAGTGTATTTGCTTGACAGTGTGAGCAGTTGTTGGAAGACGTATAGCCCATCTTGAACATCCTATGACCAGTATAGTGCACTATATGTAATATTTTGTATTGTATTAATTGCACACTGGGATTTCTGATCCACTGAAAGGTTTTTAAGCATATCTGAGACCAATTAGATTAAAAAATTGTACCACGTAATTCAGCTTCACTGGAATTAAATTTCTCTTTTACTATGGATTTCATTTGTTGATATTCCAAAAATCTTTTGTCGATTCCATATTGTATAACTAGTCTGTCAAATGAAATAAAGTCTGTTCCTTCCAATATATGTTCCAAGTATCTAATTCCTTTATAACTCCAATATGGCAAGTTGATCATATTATTGTTTTGTAATATGTCCGGATTGTTCCAGATAGGTGTACGTTTGCATGGGATTAATGAAGACTCTGTTATTTTTTAGAAACTCCCACCATGCTGTCAGAGAAGAGCTGATGTTGATGCTTTTAAAGTATTCATGTCATTTGATGTTTGAGCTGATAAATAGTAGGTCTGAAATTTCTAGATTACATAGTGCCTGTTCTACAGCTATCCAGGGTTCATCTAAGAAGGTGTGTTTTAACCATCTAGAGATGAACTGAATCCTGTTGGCTAAAAAGCAGTGATTAAAGTTAGGCAGATCTAGTCCTCCTTTATCCTTGGTCCTTTGTAATGTTTTTAAGCTGATACGTGGGGTTTATCTTTCCAAAGGAATTTAGAAATATACGAGTCTAGAGATCTGAACCAATCTTGTGATGGCTTACTTGGGATCATTGAAAATAGTTTATTTTTGGTAAGACCATCATTTTTATAGCGGCGACCCTTCCCATGAGAGATATGGGTAAAGATTTCCATCTAGCCAGATCGCCTTCTACTGTCTTTAAAAGTGGGATGTGGTTTAATTTAGTTAATTCTGCAAGCTTTGGAGAGACATTGATACCTCCAGATATTTCCAGATTGCAGTCGGGTAGATGAAGAATTATGGAAGGAACAATTAATTGGAAGAACTTTAGATTTTGACCAGTTAATTGAATAATATGAGACTCTTGAGAAAGAGTTTATCAATGCAATTACCCCAGAGAGATTGGTTTGTGAGTTTTGGAGAAAAATTAACACAGCATCCGCATAAAGGCTGATTTTATGTTCTACATTCTTACATTTTATTCCCTTAATTGTTGTAACCTGTCTAATTGCTGCTGCTAGTGGCTCAATAAAAAATTGCAAACAGTGAAGGGGAAAGTGGGCATCCCTGCCTGGAGCCCCTCAGGAGACAGAAGCTGGAGGATGTTTGGTCATTTGTTTTGACACAAGCTGTTGGGGAGTTATATAATATTTTTAAACAGCTTACGAAAGAGTTTCCAAAACCAAATTTGTGTAAAGTTGCAAATAGAAATTTCCAGTTAACTCTGTCAAACGCCTTTTCTGCATCAAGAGACAATATTATGGTTTCAATATTTTTACTGCATGAGTAGTCCTATTAAATTAAGGAATCTACGTGTATTTGTTGATGAGGGGGGCTTATTTTCTCTAATCTCTTTGAGAGAGCTTTGCAGATTATTTTAAGGTCTACATTAATAAGGGATATTAGACGATAGCTTGCAGGAAATACAGGGTCTTTGCCTGGTTTTAGTAAGAGACTAATATTTGCAGAATTTATCTTTGGTGGTAGTCTGCCATTTTCTTTGATTTCCTGCAACATTCTGTGAAAATTGGTGCCAGAATCGTCCAGAATTCTTTGTAAAATTCTGCTGGAAAGCCGTCTGGACCTGGAGCCTTATTATTGGGCATACTTATCAGGGCTTCCTGGAGTTCACCTGGCATCAGTGGTGAATCCAGTGCCATTGCTTGGGTGTCTAATAATTTTGGAAGAGTTACGTTGTCGAGAATTTGATCAATTTCGTTTTTAGATGAGTTTATTTGTGGTGTATATAAAATTTCATAGAAATCTCTAAAAATTTTGTTTATTTTTATAAGGCCATATATTGTATTCCCAGATAAACCTTTAACAGCACATATGGTTGTTTTTTCTTTAGTGATTTTTAACTGGTTAGCTAGAAATTGTCCGGATTTGTTACCGTGTTCAGAATTTTGCAGGAAGTCTTTGTACTAAGAATTTAGTCTTTTTTATTAATAATTTCATTTAATTCTAGTTTTGTGTATTTTGTTCAATATTTCTTGATCTTGGTGTGACACATAGGCTTTTTCTAAGGGTTTGATGTTTTTTTCTAGTTCCTGAACATTTTTGGTTTCTTCTTATGTGATGAGAAAGAAATTATTTTACCTCTCATCACAGCTTTCCCTGCTTCCCAGAGGACAGATGCTGATATTCCAGGAATGTCATTATAGCCTAAATATAGAGTCCATTCTTTTTTAAAGTATATGGATAAACTCTTCATCTTTGAGTAGTGATGTATTAAATCTCCAGTTTTTACTTGACGTAGTATTCTTCTTGTGTATTAGTGTTAAAGATACAGGAGCATGATCGCTGAGAGCTATAGGGTGAATCTCAGTGTCTGAGATGTCACTCAGCAGTGAGCTGCTGACTAGGAGATAATCCAGACGGGAGTAGGAGTGATCAACATGCGAGAAAGGAAAAAAAAGTATATTCCTTACTGTTGGGGTGAAGGGAGCGCCAAGCATCGCAAAGACCAAAGTCGCTCATATACTGTTTGATTATATTTGTGGACTGCCAATTGTGCCGAGTTCCTGCTGTATTGAGCCTACCCATTTCTTCACTTAGCCCCAGGTTGAGGTCGCCCCCAAGAACAATTGTGCAATCTAGGTGTTCGCAGAGTGTACTAAAAAATCCGTGGAAGAATGAGGGGTCATCAACATTTGGACCATATATACTTGCAATACATAGCTCTTGGTTAAGCACAGATAGTTTAACGATTATGAATCTGCCCTCTGGATCTATAACTATGTCGAATATTGTGAAATTAATATTTTTATGTATTAAAATTGCTACTCCTCTTTGTCTAGAATTATAACAGGCTGAAAACACATTAGGAAACTCAGGTGTTTTAAGTTCATTCAAACCTGTCACAGGCCTGTGAGTCTCTTGTAATAACAGATTTGTACTTAACGCGTTGGAAACTCTAGGCTCCTCACCACATGTGCTAAATAAAGAGGCAATTTTAAAGCAAGGCTTTGAAATAGTGGCTATGACACTCACTGGTCCTTGGCCTCCTTCCTTCCGCTTAGCCTAGTCTCAGGGTGCTGGATTTGGGGTGAAACCCTCCATGCACGAATTGCACGAATCACTAGTGACTACTAGTAAATGGCAGTTATGTCAGGAACTCCGATTTACTATCCATTATCTATATTTACAATCTACATTTTGTGTTATAACTCTGCCAAATGATACATGCATGAAGCATATATATATTAACGTCAAAGTTTATGTTGGCTTTTGGCCCACAGCAGCAAACACTAACTATTATTTAAGACTATGATCATGTTTAATATAAGCATTCATCATTGAATGGAGAAAGGTTTCAGACGCCTTTTTCATTTTGTACAATTCTAAATTGGTGAACTTGCCAGTTTAGTCTAACAAAATGAAAAAAACAACAACCCTGAATTCTTTGCAATACATCTTATTTAACCATTTATAAGATGTCTTGATCATACACCATAGCAACTGTGACATCACCTTATTGTTAATGCCTGTTTTCCAAACTTCAATGCTAATCATCTTTTTTTAACCTGACTTGATGAGAGAGGTGGATTCCATATGGTAGAAACGTGTAAATGACAAGTTAGCCCTGCCCTAAACCTTGCTTTATCATCCTTTTTGACTCTAATGGGAACCAGAATTTACAAAATAAACAGTAAAACTTTAAACCAGCAACTGAGATCATAAATTGATCAAAAATGTTTGGTGATACAATCCAACACCAGAAACGCTGTTTTCTGATAGACTTTATTCTACTGGACAGTTTTTTAATCAGTTACTCCCTGTAGGCCATTTCAGGTGTTTATGTTCTGGACTGGCTTACCCTTTTCAGGTCAACAATTTCCATCTTATCTTAAAGTCTATGTTCTTGATTGGCCAACTGAATTGATTAGATATGCAAAATCTATTGTATGGCAAGCTTAAAAAAAGCATAATAAAAGGGAATATCATCCCCACAAATAAACACACAAATGATTCATAAACAGAACTGATTTGCTTATTTTTTGAAATTTATTAGATATTTTGTTATGTTCCATTGTCTAGACCTTCTGTCACAGCTTGGACGCTGCGGGAAAAAAGAACTAATTTTTATTACATTCACTACTAATTCCCCTGAATTTTGCCTTATCAGAAAAGAAAAGACTGAATACACTGTGAATCTTTGTCTTTCAAAACAAACAAAAAGAAAACAGGAAAAAAAACAACAGTAGATTTTGCAGATGCTTTTTCATGATTACAATAAAGAAAACAGTATTTTTGACTCCATCTGTTCCCTAAGCTTCTATCCCTCCCCTCACAGTCATACCTGGCATCACTGGTAATGCTACAAAAGGCGACTCCCGTCATCAAACTCAGGCTTTTCACTCCTCGTCATATAATTCAGAGGTCAAGCTGAATGGAGCTGGATTTTGGGAGAGGCCACTTCCTTCTTGTGTGATGCAATTCAAGAGTTTCTTAAAAGCATCAAGAGATCAAACAGAGAGAAAAAAAATCTAAAGGAAAAAAAAAAAAAGAGCATGCAAATTAGCTGTTTTGTTAAACCTATTTGTCCTCGTACTGGTGATATAACAGGTCCATGTCATGCTTGTACAGGTGTGAAACATGTCAGTGCTCCCGGAGTTATTAACATCCTGTAAAATCTATCCCTTTATCTGTGTAGCTGTACATTCATAAGCATGGATGAGGTACAGTTCAACACGTGAACAGTTTGCTCTGCTTTAGCAGCATGCTATCCACAAAGCTGTTATGTGCTCCACTGACATTCCAACTTCCTTAGAGTTACTTGTAGCAGTACAGTATTAAATGATAAACCTGACAATGCTGATGAGCGCTTTATCTGTAAAATCGGGCCTTTTATAAAGTACACTTAAAGGCTCTCTTTTACCTGTTAAACAAAAACACACAGAGATAGGTTCTATCAAAACCTACAAATTCTGAGACACACACACACACACACACACACACACACACACACACACACACACACACACACACACACACACACACACACACACAACTGATCAAAAGCCTTAACCAAACTACGTCATGATCATAAAAAACATCCTAAATATTTTACATTGAGCCTGACCTGATCTGTGTTAACTTCAATATATATATAAAAAAAACTCAGCCCGTGCTGTGATACACTGCTCTGACCTCAAGTCCGAGGAGCCAGAAAAAAAAGTTTGTGACAGAGGAAAGTGATCAACCCATTTTCTAGATGAGGCTCTGACTAGCTCACTGCAAGAGTCAAATTTGCAGTGCGACCTCATACTATACTACTTTCTTGTAGTTAGTTAACTTAGGTGAAAAGCTTTAAAAAAAAAAAAAGTAATTGTGTGTGTGGGTGGACAAACAAAAAAACTAAGCTAATCCACATCTGTAACAAACATGGCAGATCTGCCTGGACCCATTTGTTCTGTCAGTAGAGTGGAAACAGTCGTTTGAGAAAGATATTTAAAAAACAAACAAACAAAAAACTACCTTGATTCATGCACGCAGCAGTGCACAGACTCTCATCCTCATTTAAATCTAAAACAGAAAATAAAAAAATAAAAAAAAAAGAAGAAGCTTTTGGGGAGGTTTGACAGTCCTCCAGTTAAAGCCCTAGCCAAGGAGAAAGGCCATGCAGCGACAGCATGAGGCAAAGTTCAAGAGGCTGCTGGTGGTGTGAGAGCACTCAGAAGCCTTGATCTTATGCTGAATGTTAACCATCTCAGTCCCCAGACTGACAGTTTTAAGAGTGAAGGCAGTTAAAAATAAACAAGCACACAGATGCGTACGCCAACACAGAGGTGTAAAGTACATACTCTCGTGGAGGGTACTGACTTGCCCTCTAAACAACACACACAACACGCACTGCAGTGACAGTAGACATGCAGCGACAGTTTAAAAGTGAGGAGTTGCTGTTGTCCACATGCACTTGTGTCGAAGAAAGGGGTGGGCAAAAATAAATTACCCATCATGCATGAGCATTATCTTTGCTTTTAAACCATAAAAAATAGGCATGGATCTGCCTGAGAATTCAAAATAAAGAAAAAAAAAGCCAGACATAGTGGGCCAGTGGAACAAGGGCAGAGAATCGAGAAAAACCTTTTACCAGGACAAGTATATCGACAATACTGAGGGGAGAGACGAGGTTTAAAGTAGAGACAGACAGTTATAATACAAGGAGAACGTGGGGAATTCAATTGTCTGATACCTGCTTCAATCATCTCATAGAAATTTGTGTGGGAACGTGTAGCTAAAAACATTCTAATGAATTTAAAAGGCTTGACTTTGTGAGTCACCATTTACACACCTGGATAAAAACAAAGCCCATTGGAATAATCAACTAACAATTACATATCAGGCAATTTACGATCTGTGCAAAGTTTTTTTTTTCTTTTTATATGAATGCAAAACCTTTTTTTTTGTTTTGTTCTTTTTTTGTTTTTTTTTTTTGTTTTTTTTTTCTTCTCTGAGTGAACAGGAGGCTTGTGACTGGGGGTAGGATCTGTACAGTACTGTTAACCAATCATTTCAAACCCCCCAATGAATCATGTGAGACAGGAAGCGAAGAGGCGACAATCAGGGCCATTTCCTCAGCGTGGTGGACATGTCTCTGATGACATCATCGTGACAGGGTTTGGTTGATTTGCCTCACTGCTCATGAGCAGCACTGGTGCCTCGAATCTGACCTGTTTTACGCAGCTGAATGAAAAAGAAAAGGCAGTAGTCAGCTTGTGTGTTGAATGTGTGGAAAAAGTCAAGTGATGCTTAAACTGTTTTTTTAAACAACTGTTTGGTTTTTTTTGTTTTTTTAAACACAGATAACATTAAAAATGAACATTTTGCCCCACTTTAGTTTTACATATTTTAGTTCAATGTACACAAACTAGACCTAAATGAGAGGCAGAAAACTGACATATGGCTAAGCCAAACACAAAAGAATTCTCTTTGCCAAACTGTTGATGTTTTAAGTCTGTTAGTAAAGAGCAATGTGCATGCAGCCGACTTCCAAAAATCAAAGAAAAAAACCAACAATAAGCATCACAAACACAAAACATGAGGAGGAAAAATGAAAGTGCCTGACATGAAGGTGTGGGAGCTGAAAGAAAATCTTAAAACGTGAGCGAAAATGACAAACAGTAGCAGGCAGGAGGGGGAAAATGAAAATGATCACAATCCTATTCCTTAGCTTATCACTGAAGGTTTTTACATACAATGTTTAAAATGTATTGGTCATATCACTTGAGCAGAGACGAGTGAGATATTGAGAAGAATCTCTGTCTTACATGAATTTGTTGCAAACCCTCTTTTACTTATAACTTTCACTTATTACCTTTCGTTACCCCCATCCACAGAGGTTCAAATTATATTGCATTACATTCAGAGACATAATTACTTGTATAGTAGGTGTGTCAATTTCAACAGAAATATGTCTTAAAAATACATCCCACCCACTAACACATTACAAAATATGCCAAATAATTAGATTAAAGTGTTTAAAATACGAATATTTGATTAAAAAAGATTAAATTCAATTCAATCTGAAAAACTGCCTAAGAGAGGACTGTAAATCTGTCTTTGTGGAGTTGGCTTGTGAACACTCTGCCATCATTACCACGCGGTTGCTGTTAAATTATTTCAGACCTAAATACACTCCCATTGGGTCTAAGCATTTGAGAGTTTTATTTTGAAGAAAAACTACAACCATTAAGCTAGCTAATATATGTAATTAGGCTGCTGTTATTAAGTGTCATAAAACATAAAATTACTGAATAGAAGAAAAACCCTCAAACATTATTAATATGTTTTGCCTTTTTTCAGCTGACAGCAGCCTACTTATATTCCATAATTACAACATGCTTTTTCTCTGCGAGGGACATATCCGTCTACCTGGTATAGCTGGCTTTACCAGGTAGGTGGATATGTCCCTCAGAGGTACCTACTGCCCCTGGTAGTGCTGCTGAATATAATTAAGAATCCTCATCGACAGCCTTAACGCTCATTCTAGTTTTGATTGTCATGAATACAAAAAAATAATTAAGAACTGAAATCCACACATTTAAAGAAATAAAAATAAAAATAGGAAATAAAGGAGATAAAGGGATAAAAGGAGAGGAAGGTCAGAATGAAAAAAATGACACTGGGATATAAAGTGTAAGAGACAAGAGAACACTGGATGGTTCCAGATATAGGTTAAAAACAGCAGGACGACAGCAGCCTGAAGCCATGGAGTGGAGACTGATCCATGCAGTGTAACCATCACTCATGATGAAACTTACTCAGCCTGCCTCTAGTGTCAGACCTACAGCAACGGGGTTCTACTCATCTGTGGCACAGGTGCCTCGAACATCTCCTTTCTGACGCATCTAATGTGAAATTCAGGAGCAAAAGGGTTAAATCGCGAACATGAATCATGTTGTGTCTTCTCCAATAGCCCGGTCAAATATTTCAAACCATTACCACAGATTTCCAAACATTTCTAAATATGGAGACAACTGTATGTAATTTCAACTTTAAACTACCCCGAGACAAGGACAGTTATTTCAGATTGGATTCTGTTTGAGTTAATTACCTCCTCAAGCTCTTTTTGAGTCTCCTCTTCCATCCGCCTGATGTCCTCCATGGTCAAACCCACCCATTTGTCAATCCAACAGAACAACTGGCGGTGGAAGTTGGTGAAAATACGCTTTTCTTGCTGTGGAAAACAGACAGAAATTTAAATGAAAAAAAATAAGAATACCATAAAGGTTGTACAGCAGCTGAAATAAAGACAGATTTTCCAAAATACAGAAGTGCTTTAGTGACCAACAGCAAGAAAGATTTGTTTCCTTCATGTCTTTATGTCACATTCATCACACTTGTGTAAAACACAAGCCACACTCAACTCTAGCATGCAAAGACAGGACATAAATTGAAAAGCTCATCATGACAATAAAAACACTAAAAAAGTTAAATGTTTTTTAAAAAAAAAAAAAAGAAAGAAAGAAAAAGAAAGTAGTGTACCTCAGTGACCTTAAAATACTTAAAGACTATATAAGACTTCTCCTTTATCTGATAAGAGAGGAGAGAATATGTTACCCTGTGGATGAAGTTTTCCACTTTGGTCTGCAGACCCCACCATTTGAACTTGACAGTGACCAGTTTGTATGCACACATGTAAGGACAATCTGCCTTCAGCTCACTCTGCAAAGAGCACACAGGAAAAGCATAAATAAAAACAGGATTAGGATTAAGAAACAAAGGACAAAAATGAGCAAGATTCTGTGTCCATGTCTGGTACCTTCCATTCAGGGCCTAAAGGTCCTCTGTCTGTTTTGGCTGAGTGAAAAAGCGCAGGGTCTTCTTCTGGCTTATAGTCCTGCAGGAGAGTCAAAGAAAAAGAAATCTTTAAATGTTGAAGAACATCAACTTGTCTGCTGCAGGAGCACAGAGAAGGCACGATTCTTTGAAGACTGCAGATACTACACAGACTAGAGCCCAACGATTTTTCGGACCAATGTGATATTTGGCGATTAAAAATCTGATATCCCTGAAATTACTTCTTTACCCTCTACCAAACGTTGCTAGCTGGTTGTTCTGTTTGTGGTGTCCCAAATGTGTTGTCAACAAAGAAGATGCAGAGTCCCCTCTAGTGGATAAACTATGGAATATCAACACTGAGTATTAAAGGGTGCTGTTCCTGTCTCTTTTTTACATTTTTAATTTTCATTTCTTGGTCATAAATCCAGACACAAATATATCAGTTAAACTGCCAATATAGGCCGCTATATCACCCTGCCAATATATCAACACTGACGAAGAGCAACAATCTCTCTCTCTCTGTTACATGCCCTAAATCTTGCTGTCTCAGTCACACTGAATCCAGCCTACCCTTTCAGCAGAGTTCAGGATGGCCTGTAACACTGAAGAAGAGCAAGAACGTATCTCTGTTACATGCCCTAAATCCTGAGCTCAAGGTTTACTGTGCTGTTTTAATCCATTAGCTTTGTTGGGAAAGTGTGGCGAATAGCTGGAGCAGATGGACATTTAGATTAAGCCTTGACCTCCACACTGATCCACTTAAGTCATTACTTTACAGAAGTCAGTATAAGAAACACTGGGACAATCGAGACTCACCTCAATGACAATGCCTTAATACCACCTTTAAAATTTTCAACCAGAAGTACAATGACTTATGTTCTAACTGATGGCCCAATGGATTACTGAGCTGCTCCAAAAGACAGATTTATAGTTTATTTAATAACACAAACTATAAGGGCATTCCTTTCAAGTCAGACGGTGACAAAATGTTAAATCGACAGAAGCAAAAGACATAGATCATAGTCACACAAAAGACAAATGAATAGATTATGCAGGGAGAAAATAATAAAACCATCTGCTGGGATACTGTGATAGCAGAATTAGGAATTTTAACAGGAACATTTTAAGCTGGACATACACTGCGATTTTTTTCAGTCGCGTTATTCAGCTTCTACTCAAACTGCACGATTGACTCGCAGGGGTTAGACAGACACTGTGCGTCCATAACATGGAGGTTATAACAGAAAATCTGTCGCTCGCTCTCCCTTTTTCTCCCTCTGTCTTTCACTCACACAGACACGCACACCGCCACCATCAACTTTGCTAAATTGCTAATGAAAAACATTGATCAGGCAGCTGTGATTGAGCAGCAATGTCCATCCACGGTCGTTGTGGTCATGATAATTTTGTGAGGCCACGTTGACAGTGTTAAAAGTAACCTAGTCAGTTTTGAAGATTAACAATGGCTAACACTGAGCAGTGCTGGTTTTCTAACACTGGAATATTTCTAACATTTTGAGTTATTTTCCAGTGTTAGAAAATCAGCACTACTCAGTGTTAGCCATTGTTAATCTTCAAAACTGACTAGGTTACTTTTAAACATATAACACTGTCAAAAGTGTTAATTTAACACTCAGTGTTGTATTTAACACTCAGAGGTGTGGACCCATATAGACACTCTCTAGTGTTAATTTAACACTGGAGATTTTGCTGTGTAGCTGTGTAGCTGTGTAGCTTTGAACATAATTTGACTCTTCTCCTGCACAAAATGAATCAAGCGAGCACAATTTACTCCAAATCAGTTACTCCAAATGTTATCAGATAACAGATGACAGAGCAAAAACAAGATATTTTGGTACTTATTCTTTCAGTTGTTTTCAGTGCTAATGACAGAGGTTAGTGTGTATGCAGGAATGAATATAAAACCATATGCTTGACTGTGTTTTTGCACTTTTGGACATATAAACTTGTCTTTAATGTGTGATTTTATTCAATAAAATTCAAGTTATTTATAAAGTGCCAATTCACAACAGTGGTTGCCTCCAGGTGTTCAAACTGTAAAGCACTTTCTCAAATGTTATTACTATTGTTATTATTCAAGTTTATGAAAATATAATGGCAAAATGCAACAATCCTGTAAGTAGGGCTGGGCCATATTATACTGTTCATGGTAATACCGGTATAATGTTAGGTAATGATAAGAAAATGAAATATCGCGATAGAATATGGATAAAACACGTATGCGCAGAGCCTTTGTTTTCATACACACATGGTGGAAAAAGCATGACGGCGACGGAGAATGAGAAGGGCAAAAGCAAATCGTTGAATGAAACAGATGAAACAGAATTGGTTTGTAAAAGTGGTGCAACTTCAGTGGTGTGGAACTGGTTTGGTTTTTGTCCGGCGCTCAAAAATCTGTTTAAAAAAATGTTTGCCTCTGTTTTAGTCTTTGGTAAGCTGTGAAGCTGCACCGCTTGATGGATTGTCGGAGCATTACGGCTACCGTAGTGAGGAGCCTCGCGGAGTGATACCAACTGTACTTCAACATAATATTATCGTATTGTGTGTGTATAATTAAATTGTGTGAGTAAAGTTAGACTTATCTGACTGTTTTTTACTGCAGTTTCATGTTCCAAACCACCTCTTTTTGTGGAGTTGTAAAGTATTTTGTCTTGCATCAATTATATCGTCAAGTTATATCGTTATCGCAAATTTTCAAATATATATCTCGTGATAAACTTTTTTGGTCATATTGCCCTGCCCTACCTGTAAGTAAGGAAATCCTGCACAAAGTCTTTTATCTGGTGAGCTGATCATCACAACACAGAGCATGTGATAATCCAATTAATGTTATCATGGTGATCCAGCCAGGTAAAAAGAGAACCACCTTTGTGACACTAAAAAGTTTGGTACCTGGCAAACCAACTAATCTATCTTCATAGTACAGCCCTCAGGTAATATAGTCCTGTTTGTGCTCTTGGTGATCCTTACATTTGATTTTGTTGTAGACATAGACAGGCTAAAGAACTTATTTTTGTAGTGAAGTGAAACTGAGTATTGATGGACACCTAATGGACCTACTCTCCTGTGATGGGTCCCTTTCAGATATCCTTTGAAAGCAATCAGCATTCAAACTATGCAGAGTCTATCACTCTGTTGCCTTCTCTCGAAGGTCCATACACGAAAGCATCTCATAGCCCCTGTGTAGGTTAAATTCCCACAGTCCTACTTTCTGTGGAGGTGGAGAGCACATGGACAATAATGTGAAAAAAAAAAAACAGCCTTAAGGCTGAAAACAAATTAATTCAAAGCTTTGTAAATTAGATATGGACTGGTACTGCTTTTATACTCAAAGACTTGTAAGAACACTCAAAGAGCTTTTTACAAGTCTCATTCACCCAATCACACACACATCCATATAAGTGATTTTTATTCTTTAGTCAAGCACTCTTCTAACATGTACAAACAGTCACACTAAAATGGATACATACAGGCAAACTCTGAATTCAGCATTTTGCCCAAAGATACTTTGACATGCAGACTAGAGTAGCCAGGGATCAAGCCCCTAACCTTCTGACCCACTCAAACTCCTGAGGCACAGCTGCTTTACCTGCATAAGCAACTGTAAATACATAATTTTCTAGTTAAAAAAACAAAACAAAAACCCCCCATAAAGCCCTCACTTTTTTTTTTTTAGAAATGTGTTCCAGCAAAAATATTGTCCTGTATTCAGGTCTATTAAACTTTTTTTTATTTAAACTTCTTAATGTGTGGCTTATAGGAGATCTTCATTAAACATCATCCATAATCAAGACTCACCCCTGGGGCCACTTCTTCTTTGTTTGCAATATCTATGGGTACGACTTCGACAGTCCTCCACGTCTGCTCATCCAGTTCATGGACCTGCATAAAGAAAACAAAGTGGAAACATTTCAGTGCAAAACAGGGAGAAAAAGAGGCATTTGTTTTTCATTCAAATTTGTTGAGTCTAAATCAAATCACATGCAAATTCAAAACTGCCGTGTAAACTCTAACTTGGACCCTTCTATCATGCAAGTGTATGACAGAAAGATTTATCAACATAAGGCTGGCCAGCCTGTGTTTTGTGGCTTTTAAAAAGGAGCCTGTATCTCAACATAGGGACATAAAAATCATGGACATTTCTCAGGTGTCTAAACATTTACTTCAACCCGCACTATCCAGCATTTCTCAATATTATATAGATTTTCCTTCCCCCTCTCATTTGACAGAATTTCAATGCACTGCTGGGATACCCCCAGCATTCCTTTTCACTTACATTTTCTACTGTTCCCATGTCAGGTTTGTGCCAGGTCTCGATCTTAATCATGAAGTCATCCTTCATGTACTCATTCTGAAAAGTAGGAGACAAATAACATTCTTTATATGTTGAAGTGAAGCAATGACAAGCTGTCACTCAGAAGTCAGGCAGGTCCCCTACACTGACAGTTACAGCTGATCTTGGCTGGTACCAACAACACTATGAATGGAAGGTTGTGAGACGTAAAACCTGCAGCTAAATCCAATTAACCAATCAGACTAAAGCAACACTGGTGATGCTATACCACTCAGCTCTGGTCTATTTTTAATATTAGTAACGCTAGTTAACTTGCCAGTAATGTAAAGCAATAGTGGGCTCTGAACTTCAAACATCAAAAGGACAGAGAAGCAAATATCAAGGAACAGAGAGTGGATCAAATATTTGTGGCATACGCTGATGAGCATTTGTTGCATACATAAAGTAATATCTGTTTACTTTATGCAAATGCAAACTGGCCTTATAAAAATTAAACAAATATGTCAATGAAAATTGTAGATTAAGTTTTATGTTAAAGGATTTGAAGCAGGTAGTGGAAGATGTCACATCAAACTCAACTTTGTGGAAGTTTCCTGGCATTAAAATGAGCTGTGATCATCTAACTTGGTGTTAGACCCCTCCTGTCCTAGAGGACATGGAATGGCTAATGGGTGGATTTTCTGGTGGGACTAGGCCTTTAACAACAACAAAAAAACCTCCAAAAAGAGGTAATGAGTAACTCACCGTCACAACTGCAGAGTAAAAAGGAAAGGAGAAAAAAAAAAGAGCATCAGTATCAAATAATTAACAAAAAACTGTACATTTTTAGTATTATTTGAAATGCATTTATAAAATGCCTATTTCTGTAGTGGCTAAGTGCACTATCAAAACTATTAAATAATAACAAGTCTAAGTTTCTTCTGTGCAAACAATTTATTTGCCAAGTATTTTGTAGTAAATAATAGAGGAATACGAGGCTCTTGTTCTATGGATCTCTCAAATTTCCCTGTCTCGGACTGCAGCTGGTAGTCCTTCTTCCTCAGCCTCGATGAGTTGGTCATAGCAGCGGATGAATCAGCCTTCCACCTGCTGCAAGTTCTGGTTAGAGTGATTCTCCCACTTGCAGTGGATCTCTGAATCAAAAGGTCTACTGTTGTCAGCTGCAGTCCAGGATGGTGGAAATACTGGGGAAAACATCTGAATCATACAGAGGACTTCCACAATTGCAGCCTGGCTGGCAAGCCAGCTGGTAGGGAAACATGAGATAGGAAGGGCTGTGGGTAACTGGTCACTAGCATCTACTAGTGAATCAATTGCATATTTCCTCACTGACAAATTACTCGCCATAATTTTATCATTAATGCAATTCAAATAACACAAGCACACTTCTGCGTGTACTTACTAGTGCGACAGTATGGGTAGGCATTCCAAGCCTTTTCGTGAAAAACTAATGCTCCTTCTGGTGCAATCATCTTCACGTAACCCGGGACTTTACTGTTATGAAAGAGAAAATTAGACAATCCTTATACTTTCCAACTTGTGTCTTTCAAAGGCCATAAAACATTGTAACAGGGAGCCGACTGCGCTCTTTAAAACTAATAATAACTCTGTTTGTAAATGGCTATTATCTGAAATATTTAATCAATTCTCATGCTGTACATGTCTAGAGCTCTTACCCAAACCCATTTCCCGTAATCACATAATCACAAAGACCATACAATATACAGACGGTGGACAAAATAAGTTTAAACACCTGACATAAAGCCTGAACCTTTATGCACAATTTATCTATTTTCAGTTGAGGGACTAGACTTTTCATTTAAACTAAGGGAAAAAAAACAGTCCCCTAAATGCATCACTTGCAGCGCGAAAGTAATTAACACATATACATCTAGTCTTAGACTATTGAAGTGATAAAAAATTTTAACTTTTTGACCAGTTCTCACGTTCCCTTTCAGTCGATTCACTTGGTACAACACATAAGTATTGGATATCACACCCTCGCGTGTCCTGGCTGAAGAAACTTTTATTCACACCTTTAAGGCAGATGACGTGTGATGACACACGCATGGCCCCGCCTGCACATATAGCCGCTTTCATCACAGTCATCCCTCAGTTCTTACGTTCTTCACCTCGCTGAGAACACCTCTGCTGAGTTGGTCTAGCTAGCTGCTGCTAGTTAGCGCCGTTGTCTGCCGACTTGAACTTAGCTTAACTGCCCCTGTTGGTGTTAGCCTCCAGTGCGCAGTTGGTGTGTAGGCTGCCCGCAGAGCGCTAATTTCGAGTTTTTCCTGTACAGCGTTTGGCTTTGCGGTTTGGAATAGACTCCAAACCGAAGCGAGCAAAGCAGAAATCTTCTGTTCGCCCCTGTCCTCAGGGGTGTGATTTCTCTTTGCACAAAAGTGACCAGCACAATGCCTGCCCTGTCTGCCTGACGATCGTCAACGCTAGGAGACCGTTGATGGAGCCCGAAGCCTGTGGGTTTTGTCGACGCTCGACCCCAGAAAGACAGGTGACGTTTGTGGAAAATGTGCTGGGAGGGACGGCTGTCGCACGGCATGACCTTTTCCTTTTCGAGTCTGGAGCCCTGGCTTCATCAGAGTCCGAAGACGAGGATTATCCGGTCGATGTCCCCGCAATTAGCTGGGCTGACCACATGGAATACGGTGATGGGTTAGCTGATGACGAGCTGGAACCATGCAGGAAGACGATAATGTGCTGGACATCGGCCTGGACATCGATGGTTTGTCGAAGGATAAGCAGGAGTGTTCACTGTCGTCCCAATATGCCGCCGCTGCTGCGCCGGTCGGGCACGATGACACTTCTCTTTTTTTCCCCTGTTTCGCCATGCTTCTGAAAAGCTGCAATTGGACTGGCCCTCTCCTCCGACAGCTCAGAAGCCGTTCAATTGGCAGGCTTTTTCCTCCCTCCGGAGCCCGCAACGACCAAAACCCGCCTTCCCATGTTCCCATACTTTGTCTGCCAGCTAATGGCATCATGGGACAAACCTCTGTCTACCTGCGTGTGATAGACAGAGGTTTGTCCCACTGTGCTCGGCTATGGACAGTGCATGGAGGGCGACGGCACCAAGGAGACTGGCTTAGCTAACCCACCCCCTATGGAGCCGTCACCATGCTCCAGACGTACCAGGCGATGTGCCTGGTTCCTGGTGACAGCACCGCTGGCACCTCTTCTTAACGAGGTCAGAGTTGCCATGGATTACACCCTCTGCACTGTGCAGTGCTCTCCCTGGGCAGAGGGATGGCATCGACAGTAGTGGCGCAGAGGCACCTGTGGCTGACCCTCTCTGACGTCTCGGATAGGGACAGAGCTGTATATCTGGACGCACCAGTGTCTGCGGCTAGGTTATTCGGACATTCACTTGAAGCCATTCAGGCTAGACTCGACTGAAGCAGACAGAAGCTCTGCGCAACATCATCATTATGTGTGTGAATGTGTGCGTGAATGGGTGGATGACTGGATATGTAAAGTGCTTTGGGGTCCTTAGGGACTAGAAAAGCGCTGTATAAATACAGGCCATTTACCATTAGGCGAAGTCCAAGCCCGCAGCTAGCTCTCACAGGCCCGCCGCTCCTCTGCCGACTGGCAAGAGACCGGCGCCCACTGCTGTAGTGGGTGTGCCGCCAGCGGGGGCACATCCTCCACCCCGAGCTCCACGTCAGTTGGCCTAGAACAAAGGCCCACCCTCGGACCGCCGGCGGGACCTGACGCCCAGGAGGAAGACGCCTCAGCCCTCCTAGCTGTGGTTTCGAGGGGTCTAGCGGCAGGAAGACGCTGCTCTTACCCCTCTGTTGCCGCCCAAGAGGTGCCACTTAAGTTCTGTTCAGGTTGTCAGCCCTAGAAGGCGCTGCACTTTCCTAACACTGTCTCCCAAGCACAACGCCCTGCACACAAAATGCCTCAAGTTGTAAATGTTCAGGTGACCACATCAAGTGTTCCAGCTGTTTTTCATTGTTGTGCCCCAGGAAAGGTGCCTCCAACAAAATGTATGAATGTACATGTTCCCATATTACAATCAATAAAGAGTGTTGTTTATTCTCAAACAATCACAAATGCTCAGCCTGCAGGCAGAATGAGCCAGGTCAGCCAGCTGGCTGCTCACTTGCCTCAGTGGTGGGCTTGCGCCCCTCTCCGTGAGTGCTGCGAACCATTGCCATGGGTTACCGGTTGTAGTTCCGGGTCAAGCCGCCTCTTTTCCGGAGAGTAGTAAACACGACTGTCGGCACCGAAGCGGCCATGATACTTAGAGAGGAAATAAAGTTGTATTGCAGAAAAGAGCAAGATGAGTGGTCCCTACTTTGGAGACAGACAAAGGTTGGTACAGCCGTTATTTTGTTGTTCCGAAAAAAGGGGGAGGGCTTTGGCCCATCCTCAACCTGCGAGTCTTGAACACGTATCTACGAACGTACAAGTTCAAGATGCTAACACTCAGACAGCTCTTGAGTGCAGTTGGCCTAGGAAATTGGTTTGCAAGAATCGATCTAACAGATGCTTATTTTCATGTGGCTATACACCCGAAACACAGGCAGTTTCTGGGGTTTGCATTCAAGGACGTAGCCCTACAAATACCTGGGTGCTGTCGTTCGGGCTGTCACTCGTTCCTCACACCTTTGCGAAATGTGCCGAGGCAGCGCTAGTGCCCCTCAAAGAGACAGGCATCCGCATCTTAACCTACCTAGATGACTGGGCTCTCGTAGCTTGCTCCAGAGAGCAGGCGGAGACACAGCTGTCGCTGGTTCTGTCACACATTCAGACACTGGGGTTCTCTGTGAACTTTCAAAAGAGCTCGCTTATCCCAAGTCAGCAGATTTCTTTCCTCGGTTTGGAAATATGCTTGCTTTCCAGCCACGCATATTTGTCGGAGCACAAACTGGCCGCGTTTCATCGCTGCCTCGCTCAGTTTCAGCTTGGACGCAGACTCCGTTTCCAGATATTACATTTGTTGGGCATGATGGCATCTATGATCACTGTAGTGCCACTTGGACTGTTAAAGATGAGAGCATTTCAACGCTGGACTCTCTCTCACCGCCTGTGTGCATCATGTCTCCTCCGGAGGAGGCCGACGGTAATCGCGTCTTGCATGCTAGCGCTCTGTCCTTAGAGGGAGCCCGGGCTGCTGCATCAGGGCTCTCGGATTGGGAGGGTGTTGTTTCGCAAGGTGGTGTCCACAGATGCTTCCCTAAGAGGGTGGGGAGCGCTGTACGAGGGTGCATCAGTGAGAGGGATCTGGTCGACAGCCCAGTGCGAGCTGCACATCAACCACTTAGAGCTGTTAGCAGTGTTCTTAGCTCTCAAACATTTTCGTCCAGTCCTGGAGGGCCAGCATGTCTTAGTCAGGATGGACAATTCAACAGTGGTATCCTACATACAGGCAGGGGGGTACACGCTCTCTTCCCCTGTTGACGCTGTCTCGCTCTCTGCTGTTATGGTGCAGTGTTCATTTTCTGACTCTAAGAGCCACCCATGTCCCGGGCCACCTGAACCTGGGGCCGGACCTTCTCTCCAGGGGGGGTCCTCTGGTGAGAGAATGGAGGTTACACCCTTTAATAGTGGCTCAGATTTGGGATCTATTTGGCAAGGCGCAAATAGATCTTTTTGCTTCCAGGGTAAATACTCACTGCCCCCTGTTCTTCTCCATAATCGACCACGATGCACCCTTGGGCTTGGACGCCTAGCGCACCAATGGCCAGACGTGCTCCTGTATGCATTTCCCCCAGTGGAAATGATATCTCCAGTTCTAGAGAGAGTGCGTCGGCAGTCTCTCTCTCTGATTCTAGTGGCCCCTTGGTGGCCCACAAGGTCGTGGTATGCAGAGATAATCAGCCTGCTAGCAGCGAGTCCTTGGCAGCTTCCTCTCCGCAGGGACTCCTCTCTCAGGCGGGAGGAGAAGTGTTTCATCCGCGCCCGATCTGTGGCGCCTTCATGCTTACCTGCTGAGAGGTTAAACTTGATTGCTAAGGGTTTGCCACCTAGTGTGATAGCGACAATTCAGAGCGCTAGGGCCTCATCTACTAGAGGCTTGTAGCTTACAAATGGCGAGCCTTCGAGCAATGGTGCCAGGACCGCCACACTCTCCCATTTCAGTGCTCTATTGTGGATGTTTTGAATTCTGCAGGAGCTGCTGGATAAGGGCCTTTCATTTTTGACAATTAAGGTTTATTTAGCAGCTATATTTGCTTGTCATATTGGCTTTGACGGGGTGACACCAGGTGCACATCCGCTTGCCATACATCTGTAACCGGAAGGTCGCCGGTTCGATCCCGGGCTCTCTGTCCTGGTCGTTGTGTCCTTGGGCAAGACACTTTACCCTACTTGCCTACTGGTGTTGGCCAGAGGGGCCGATGGCGCGATATGGCAGCCTCGCTTCTGTCAGTCTGCCCCAGGGCAGCTGTGGCTACAACCGTAGCTTGCCTCCACCAGTGTGTGAATGTGAGAGTGAATGAATAGTGGCATTGTAAAGCGCTTTGGGTGCCTCGAAAAGCGCTATATAAATCCAATCCATTATTATTATTATTATTATTTTCTGAAAGGAGTTCGCTAGCTGAGACCTGTGCTTAAGTCCAGTGTCCCTGCTTGGGACTTGTCTTTGGTGCTGGAGGCCCTTTGAAGCCTCACGTGTGAACCCATTGAGTCTGTGGATATGAAATTTCTTTCATATAAGACTGCATTACTTCTCGCTTTGGATTCGGCAAAGCGAGTGGGTGACCTTCATGCACTGTCTGTGCATCCCTCCTGCACACAGTTCTCTCCTGATGGCCACATGGTCGTATTGCGTCCAAATGCTGCCTATTTTCCCAAGATCATGCCTGCATCTTGTAGCTCAATGGAGTTTGAGTTGCTGAGCTTTTGCTCCCCTCCTTTGGCATCTGAGGGGCAGAGGAGGATGCATTCCATTTGTCCAGTGCATGTGCTACGCACCTACATTGAGCGCACTCAGAATGTGTGTTTATGTGACCAGCTGTTTGTCTGCTTCGCTAATCCAACTTGAGGTAGAGCTCTGTCTAAACTGAGGCTGTCCCACTGGATGATAGAAGCTATCTTACTGGCTTACAGCACCAAAGGTCTTGCTTTGCCCCAGGGGTTGAGAACTCATTCTACCAGGGGGATAGCGACCTCATGGGCTCTTTTTAAAGGGGTGCCTGTAGCTGATATTTGTGCGGCAGCTAGTTGGGCATCACCGCACACTTTTGTGTGGTTTTACTGGTTGGCCGTTACAGCCCCTTCGGTGGCTCGTCCTTTCTGCTGGGTCTACCACTCACTAAGGTGGTGGTGGTCCGATTCCGGTTCGGTAGCTGCTCTGCGGGGCGTGTATATATGTCCCATACTTATGTGTTGTACCGAGTGAATCAACTGAAAGGGAACGAATAGTTATGTCTATAACTTCTGTTCCCTGAAGGAGAGGAACACCTGTTTGAGGGTTAAGAGTAGGTTTTAGGTTTTAAAATTAGAATTAGGTCAGGGGTACTGATTTGGCACCTCTCTCTACACAGTGTAAAGCAGGCAGCAGTTACACTGGATGAAACCAGGAACAGACAAGAACTTTGCATATACAGAGCCTGTCAATCAAACAAATCATCCTTATTGAGTGTTTAAGTAATTAGGTCAGACTAATTGTCTCTTATAGAGGACCCTATAATTTCCCCTTCATTCCTCTACGAAAGAAAATTAATTTCAAAGCCTTGCCTTTTTAGATGATATATTTTATGTGTGTACTGTCCCTTCTCTCCATCCTTCTCATAGGGTTCATTCTTCAGCACTTCAATGCCTTCTCCTCCTCCTGTCTCATTTTTGCTGGCCTCAGCCACAGAGTACAGTTGCCCTACTTGATACTGCAAGAAATGGGAACACAAAGAAGACAGAGTGGAAATCAGCTTTGACTACAGTGAAAAATCCTTAGATTAACTGGAAGGATTGTGAAAGGCTTTGCGGGCCCTTGAAGCCTGTGAAGGCACATAAGTGCAAAGATGGAGTATCACTAACAGCAACTAGAACCAACATAGGAAGTAATTGTCTGTATTAATGTACATTAAAAAAGCAATGTTGGGCTGCACGTTCGTTTACAAGAGTCTAGCCACATTTTAAACAGCATTTCAGTCACTGAGTTGTACACTTAAAGGTTTTAAACACATTTTTACAAGCCCACCAATAACATCTTTATATTTGTACATTTTATCTTTAAAAAACAAAAAAACTTTGTCCCTTTATTTGGACTTGCATGCCTAATGAAGTCCACCATCCTGATATTAATGGTTATTTGACACAATGTGCTTCACAATACGAGCAGTAACAAACTAATAAAAAGACCCAAACAGACTCATATAGAAAATCCTTCACTGTGTTGAGAAAAAAATAACACAACAAAACAATTATTTCTTGTAGAATCCCAATAATAATCTCAATTAGAAGTGAAGGTTATTAAAGACTAAACAGAAGTCTAGTTTTGAGATTACACACACACACAAAAAAAAAGAGCATAAAAGCATCATTGCTGTTAAGTCAACAGCCAGAATGCAGTTCAAAAAGTTGAGTCTACACCCCAGCGTAACTCTGATCTCTGCAACACACAGCCTGTCCCAATAACATCAGTAGTCTCTAACAAAGGCTTTTTGTCTTAATATGAGGTTCAGACTAAAGTCAGCGTGGATGAACATTTTCTGTGTAAGACAAACACAATACTCCCTCTATTTTATCAAAGTACAACAATAACACAGTGAATTTAAATAATATGCCCATATATATTTTAAGAGAACATGTAGGCAATAATACTCACCTCTTCTACAGAGACTGGCAACACTACACGGCTGCAAGGAGGATATGACAGGAAAGGAAGAGAGAAACAAATAGGTTAAAGACATAAAAGATATGAATAAAATATGAATAAAATTCCATTTTTAAAATAGAACCAAGCTGATCAAATGTTAAGGATTAAACACTCTTTTGGATGGTTGTAAGGAGACAGATGCCACTGCCTAGAAACTTTTATGAAATGGTTCAACATTCCTAAAATTTTGCTTCTTTAAAAACATTTTTTGCTATAAATGTTTACCAGTCTGAATGTTAACACGTCAGTGAGTAACTGAGTATAGTATATGGCTGTAGCTAAACTCCAATTATTAAGTAGCAATAGTTTTCTGATAAAATTATGAGCAAGCACTTGATAACAGTGTGAAGGAGGAACGTTGTTTCGAAGAAACAGGTCATCTGCTGCCAGAACCTCCGAAGTGAGGGGAAACAGATGCACCTAGCAGATGCAGCTATGGTCCGAATTTCAAAATCCTACGTTCACATATACAAGATTTCCAGAAAACATGACAGAGAACTCTCAGTGACCTTAAGGTCGAGGTCACTGAGATTTTAACTTGTACAATATTTTTAGTAGATACACCTAGGGCTGTGCGATATGACCAAAATCTCATATCTCGATATAAGAATTCTATCGTCGATAACGATATAAATCACAAAAATGTAACATTTTCTGTAAATTCTGTGACTCTCGGGCAGCTCGTCTTGCGGGAAGTGTTTCCAGCTGCGCGTCATGTAGCTGAAGTCGAGTGTTTTAACAGATGCATGAAACTATACATTTTTAGACATAAGTTGTAACGACCGCCGTTTTCTTTGTGAGTATTTATTACACAGGGTGCTGCGGGGAAAAGCCTGTTCTAACGTTTGACTCTAAGGTTTATTTTTTAGCACCTGGCGGCTCTTTTTTACTTCTCATCCGTAAATAATCTGCTCTTTCACGTGATTCAGTTTATTTTGAAAAGTCTCAACAGGATCTTGAGCTTTATTGTGAAAGGTTTATGTGGAACATAAACAAGCAGACACGCGATGGTGTTACCGTCATTGTTGCTAACCACATCGCATAAAAACAGGCGCTTGTCCGTCAGTACTGTGGTTATATTAAATATAAGAGAAAGAGAGAACTTTAAGAAATTAATATAGCCACTACAGTGACCATCAAAACGATGAAAAAATATTGCCGTAAACAGTTTATTTTGCGACACCACGAAACAAACGATAGCGTAAAATGAAACGATAGACGTTTTTATATCATCATCCGATATATATCGTTATATCGAACAGCCCTACCCATATGGAAAAGATATATATAAATCTTATAAAGTTTGTATCTGTCTTGTGTGAAACTTGTATGAAAAGCATATAAGAGTGAAAACAGATATAAGATCCCTTGAAAAATTATATAATGAAACTTGTATGTTTTGGATACTTACTAAAACAATGTATGAAAGTAATGAGAAAGTGGCCACTTTCATGAGTAAATCATGTAAGTTTTTACTATTTCTTTTCCATATGGGTAGATACACCTATGGTATCAATTTAAAACTCCTATGCCACTTTGTTCTCGAGTTATTGCATTCATAAACTTGGGTGTCTGTATTGACCGCCTGCCCAGCAGGTTGATGACAATAGATGGGGGTTAAAAGTGCAGCACAGAGAGACAATGATCAGGATAAAACACAAACTATTTCTAATGACTCAAGTTGGCTTCAAGTTACAGGCTGTCACTTGATGAAATCTGTTATAGTAGGCATTCAAAAAAACATCTCATATTTAATGACTTTTTCTATTGTTGTTGTTTTTTGGGGGGACTGGGGGTCATATGATTAATTTTGGGGTATGTGGGACCTAGAACCAATGAAAATGACATTTAACCCCATAGAAATTAATATCAAACAACAATGGCAGCATGCCAGGTTGCCTAGAAACTTGTACTAAAAAAAGAAACAAGAATTGGTTCCACAAGTTTGAATTTATTTTTGCATTTTCTCTAACCCACCCAGGATCAAAAAATACATACAGGCTCAAGTGCATACATACACCCACACTAATACTCGGTTCAATGTCCCTTAGCAAATTGGACCTTGGCCAAATGCTTTTGGTAGCCATCAACAAGTTTCTGGCTGGATATCTGGCCACTCTCAGAAATGGTTTCATTTAAATTAGTTTGTTTCATCCAGCTTTTAGGCATAGTTCACAAGTTAGGCATGAGGTTGGAGCTTGGACAGTCCATTCCAGAATCTTAATGAGCCATTTCTAAACAACTGCAAATCAGTTTAACCTTCCTGTCGTGTTTGGGTCAACTGTACATGAGTATAAATTATTCAGATGTGTAACCACTTTCCCAAGTGGTTCAATAAATCAAAACTTGTGATCAAATATTCAGCCAATTTCATGCTAGATGCTTGTTAACGCCTACCAAAAACATCTTTCAAGGTGCAGTTGGCTAAGGGACATTTAATAAAATATTGAATGCATTAGTAAAAATCCAAAATAATTTCAAACTTCTGCAACCAGTTACTGTTTTTTAAAGCCAATAAAAGATACATTCTGTACAATCATTTCATCTTAGCTAAAGAAGAGTTGTAAGAAATCATTAAACCCCCCCAAATTACCATCAGATATTGTGTATCTATTAAGCTGTAATCCCCACTAAAATTGAAACTTAAATAGTTACCTTTTAAAAACTAGATTTGACAAACCTACTGTTTCAAGACAATTTAGTAGTAGTAGTTCTAGTGTTAACCTTAAACGTATTAAAATAAGAGCTACTAGACCTGAACTATTATATGCATATTGCAGCTTAATTACAAAATGAAGGAAATCACCAAACAGACAGTAACGAATTCTTTCTTGCTTAGATCTTCATGTCCTCATTAATAAAAAATACTCCTAGACTGGCAGAGTTAGCACCCCACCCTTTACCTAAACATCTACTGGTTGATCAAGTGTGTGTTCTCTTGTGTACTCAATGTCTACTGTATATAAACACTACTGTGTGCTACACAATATTATACTTCAGAATATCTACATAATTTGCATAATGCATGCAATTTTCAAAGGTACAAAAAGTTGTGTCACTGGCAATCATTAAAGGTGACTTATTTGCTCATTTTCACCTAGTTTTTGTCAGTACATCAATAATCAATACATTACAACATATATTTAAATCTTCAGCATTTAGTGTCAAAGAACAATCATAACCCCAAACTGTATTTACATTGACTAATACTCACTATGTGTAAAAAATAATGGCAGCGAAAAGGTCTACACCAGCGGTGTCGAACTCCAGGCCTCAAGGTTTTAGATATCACCCTGGGTCAACACACCTGAATCAAATGATTAGTTCATTACCAGGCCTCAGGAGAACTTCAAAACATGTTGAGGAGGTAATTTAGCAATTTAAATCAGCTGTGTTGGATCAAGGACACATCTAAAACCTGCAGGACACCGGCCCTCGAGGTCTGGAGTTCAACACCTGTGGTCTACACTGAAAATGACCTTCTTGGGTTAAAAAGGCCAAAGGCCAAACTGGCTTGTGAAGACATGCTTGAATTTCAGACATCACAGACAAATGCAGTACAAGTACTCTGGTGCTCAGACACAACCTTTAAAGTTTGAATTATAAGCAGCTTTATTTGTTTCTCTTGCTACAACAAATAACAATGTAAATTTATAGCTAAAATAATGAGTAAATGAATTGATTAGTTATAGAATGAATTAGTAATAGTCAGTTAAATATTCATGTAGAATCCCTTAAAATGTCAGGATTCTTAAATGTAATAATATGACTAAAAAAAAATCAATTTCTACAGTGGTCCTACAGTGATACAACAGGCATCTTTTCATCCTAAGTGGAAATTCATTCTACCATTTTTTCCCACAGTCTGAAAGCTCTGTATTCATATGCACATGCACATCCCTTAACTATCGCTTTGAAATTTCAGCAAATTGTATTTGCTGATCATCTATATATTTCAGCTGCTTCTCCAGTGCAACTGTCTGGGAATGTAGCTGCAGAAGGTAGTCCTTGCTCTGCTAAGGAATAGAGGGCCTAACCAGATTCTTGAGCAAAGGAAGAACTGCTACATGTGCCGTTAAATCCAACATTGCACATTTTTCACACAGTCAATTGAAATAACTGCACCAAAGCTGCTTTATAAATAGTATTATTTAGTACCGAAAATCGGTTGTACTAAGAAAGTAATTATGCCTGACATAAAAACATCATAATAAATGCTCATGTTCAACGTATACAATCACACACGTGGCAGTGGGCTAAACCAGCCCAGTGTAACATATCAAAATGTAAGGTCAGCCTTACAGCATTAATATTAGTCATCTGTGACTCAATTCTATCAAGTCTAACATCAAAAGTACCACACATTTACCAGTGGCAGTGGCTTACAGTTATTTTTTGCATCACACCAATTTTGCATGGGCTAAATGTTCAGTGTCATGAAAGGCTGAAAGACATTAAAGCTGTAAGGTTGTTTTGTTTTTGTTTTTAAACGAAAAATCTTAAATTATTTAAAATCGCATTATCCAGCAACAAAAAGAAAAGAAGATACATACTACAATCAGTTCAGAATTTTATAATACGTGATTAACCAGTAACAACACAAGCTTATGTTTAGGAATTTTTTAAATATATTGAGATATAAGCCATTAATGAAAGATTAATTTCAGTAACCAGTATATTTGTTTCTCCCTCCGTGAGACTAGTCAAGTTTATTTATTTATTTAGACTATTTATTTATGAGACTACGTTAGTTGCTTTTAACCAACAATTTTTATAGATATTAATAGTCCTGGCTCTGATACTGAAGTACTGTATGGAATCGAACCCATTCTGTGCTATCCCCTAACAACAGGTAGCCTCCCGTTATATGTAGGCTACACAGGTTAGCCACGCAGTGAATGCTAGATTTAATAAGAAAGAATGAAAACGTCCACTGCATAGTTTCAATCCACCCGATTGATGGGCAGAAATATTAAGAGTAACTGTTTTAACAATTACGCATCATTAATATAATGTTCGTGTTAGCTGCCCAGTTTTAGAGGGTTAACTTTATACCACTAGCGCAACAAACTAACAGCAAAGTAGTTAGTTCTTCCATAACCCCATGCTAGCTTGTAGGTATAGCTGACGTATGGTACGGGGGAGTACAGACAATAAACCCTGCATAACTATTTCCTAACAATAAGCTCTCTTCTGCTTTAACAATGAGTTGTACTAGCAGCTGATTGCGGACTTTTAAATAAACTCGGTTGTCAGAGAATTGTCATGCTAGCCGCTACAGCTAACTTAGCCAGCTAGCATAAATGGTAAATCCGACAGAAGGACCCTTAATCTCTCACTCACGGGACCAAAGCTTAACGTAACGGCATTTCAGAGATATAACACGCTGCTACATGGCTAGCTGCAGTCACGTTGGCAATACAGCAAACCGTCAAAGTAGTACTAACTCGCTGAATGTGCAAAAGGCTTATGTGTGAGCGGTGCAGCCTTTTTATGTAACTCGTTTTCATTAAGAAGCTAATTATCCCCTCTGCATCTACAACTCAGAAGCTAACTGTAGCTTGTACTAGCAACGCCTTAAAAAGACCGGTGGGTCCCGTTATCCACGTCCTGATCCAACCTGCTCAGAAGCTGGCTTTTTACAGACTACAGGAGCGTAAAATACAGCGAACGACAACGCTAAATGAAACACACATGCGTACTTCTCAATAATCAAATGTGGGACCAATCTGAATACCCCACTAAACGCACTAAAAAAAACATTTTTTAAAAACATTTTCACACTCACTATTCCTTGATGAGCACCATCTTCGTCACACGGGCTGCGGCTGCGCAGTGGTAATCGACACCCGATCAACAAGTCAGTTCCGCCCTCCGGGAAAAATCTGATTGGCTGAAACATCCACACCATTGTTCATGTAATACTGTAGCTCTGTATTCCATTGAACACTGTGTTAATGAATTTGTCATATACTACTATGATATGTTCAGTGATATTTATTATGGCGAAATATACATAAATACAACTCACTATTTGCCATGTTTTTGGAATTAAAAAACTAAGAGCAGAAACAAGTATAGTAATTAACAAACCACTGTTTGCTCTCAGGGTACTTAGTGGACAATTTGTTTTCCATGATCTAAACTTTAAAACCTAATTTTGGTAGGTTTATATCACAATTAGGTTTGGTAGCTTTTGGTCCAGATCTAGAAAAATACTAACTGGCTTGGCTTGCACAGCACTTGGACCGATTTCACTTGGAATTTCCATAATATATTTTAATATATACCTATATTTTAATACTCATACGTTTCTATAAATTCAAGACTTTTACTTCTAACAGTGTGATATAGCTAGTTTTTAAAAATAAGTAATTGATTGGGTGAACATCGATGCAAGAATATACATGCTGCCTGCTCTATGGCTTATCGTCAGACTAGAGGAACAGGGCGTTGTTTGAAACAGGGCGGATCGCTTGGAACGCCAGGCTAGCAGGTACTAAAAAGTACCTGGTACCTATGAACTAATGGAAAACCCTGAAAACCATAGCGAACCATGCCGATTGGATCCCAGTAGGTACTAATCGAAAAGGGGATCAAGGAAAAGGTGTAAGCCCTGATCGCACCAGTCCCAGGGTCCTTTAAGTCCTGTGCTGTTTAGCAGTCAGCCATTCTGCAGTATCTCTTTAGTCTGAATCTGCTCCAGGAAAAGGTACCGATGGTAAGGAAGACATCATGTTTAGTGCTGGTTCCAAAGAAAGCCACCTCTTCTGGCCTTAATGACTTCAGCCCAGTTGCCTTGTCGTCATGTTATGAAGGTGTTGGAGAGACTGATTCTTGCTCAGCTTAGCTTGCAGGTGAAACATCTCTCAGGTGGGGGTGGATGATTCTGTTATCTACCTGTTGCAGCATGCTTACCTGGATAGTACTGGTTGAACTGTGAGAATCATATTCTTTGATTTTTCCAGTGACTTATACCATTAATACCATCAAGCCACTTCTGTGAAAAGCTGCTCAGGATGGGAGTCGCCAATTCTACATTCTCCTCGATTGGTAACTATCTGTCTCTCAGAAGACACTGCATTAGTTGAGTGTATTAAGGGTGGGCAGGACATTCAGACTCCTTCTAAATGTCAACAAGACAAAAGAGATGGTGGTTGACTTCTGGAGGAAACAAACTGCGACTAGGCCATTCAACCTTATGGGTGAGTAGGTGGGGACAGTGGACAGATACAGGTACTTGTGCGTAGTGGTAGTGAGTGCCATCTATTTTGCTGTCGTCTGCTGGGGGGACCTGAGTGCCAAAGATGCCAGCAGGATCAACAAACTCATCCGCAAGGCTGTAAAAAATCATTGGTCAGAATTTGGAGATGTTTGAGTCAGTGAGGGACAGGAGGTCACTAAACAAACTGCTACATCATGGACAGCCCATCACACCTGTTCCACTAATTTCTGAGGCAGCAGAGCTCCTTCTCCCTCAGACTGATTGAACCTCGCTGCCATAAGGAAATCATTCTGATATCTCATAGCACAAAGCCCTTAACAGGGTATATCCTGGATAGGTTGCAAATATATAATAGGGCCAATATGGAGAGACAGACAACCACTCAATCTAAAACTCACATCCATTGGCCAATTTAGAATCACCAATTAACCTAGCCTGTGAATGTTTTTGGACTGTGGGAAGAGGTCTGAGTACCTGGAGAGAACCCATGGAGACATGGCAACAAAGTGCAAACTCCAGACAGACTGGATTTGAACCTAGGACCTTATTGCTGTGAGGCACTGGCGACTGTGCCATTTTTTTCATATTTTGCAAACTGCACTAAATTGAATCACTGTAAGAGCATTAGCATGAACTCTAAATAACACTGGAAATTAAAAGAACACTATGAACAATAAGACATTTGTTACTGTTAAGTATCATAAAAGCTCTATAAATATTTACTGTACTGTGTTAAGAGTAGAGCAATGGTGAAGAAACTATTAAGATAAGCTGCTGAAGTAAAAGTACTCATAATAGACTATAAAAATACTTTAGTACAAACAAAAGCCCTGCATTAAAAAGTCCTAAGTAAATATCTATTACTAACGAAAAGTACTGGAATACCTAAGAGCACATAAGACAATGATGGCTAATTTAAAGTGTCTAATATGCAATAATGTGGTTTAGAAAATATAAATTTTTTTTATTACTAATTCAAGTACCGGTATTGCACCTGGTTAGCTTGTACTCTTTAAATACTTTTAATATCTGTATCTACAAATGGTTTCATAAATATCCAGTATATCCTTATAATACGTTAAGAATTACATTCACAATTCTTCCCTTTACCCCATTTTTTTTAACTAGATTTACTATTTTGCTTTTATTATAAGTAAAAAGAATATGTGAAGATTTTTTTCATTATAGAACATTGCTGTATGTGATCCAAGCAAGACAAAGAAAGGAGCAAAACTGCATGTTATAAAATCAGTTAAATACTTGGGCACCATGCTGGCAATCACACATGAAACCAAACTACCATAAAATATCAAAAAGTTGTCTTTACTTCTTCATTGTTTTAATTGTATTTATAAATTGTGTGACGATTATATTAATAATAATTAGAAAACACTCAAAATAAATGACATCAGTAACCAACAGTAATGACATTAAACAATAATTATTAAACAATAACTCAAGATTGAATCCAGGCCAGTACAAAGAAAGCAAGCATTTAGGCTGATGTAAAATGTTCATTCAGTAAGCAGACTGCAGGTTAAAAGCATTTCTGTTCAGTGTACATGGAGGCATTGAGACACATGCCCTCTAGTCAGTCATAAAAACAAAATTAAAGCTAGAGATTAAACACTTCTCTTAATTATTATGCCCTTCCATTTCTCTCCAGAAGAAGGCACAGTCATCACATTCAAAAACATTTACATACCTTCACAAAAAAGTAACATGTAAAATCATCATCAGTATGAAATGAGTACTTTTTCATTCCTGCAACTCAGCAGGGATTGCTAAAAATGTAGTTGTATTTCCACTGAAAATGGGCAGATTTTATCATTGTACAAGCACAGATATTAACCAGAAGATTGATCTCCTAAATCTGTGTTCAGGACTTTAAATATTCAAATTCTCAACATTTAGAAGATGGAAAAAAGTGTCCAGGTGAGAGAAACTTGTAGCCATTCCCAGAGGGAAGTCTGACACCTCCTTTAGAATGTGTGAGAAGGCCAGATGGAGATGGAGGTGGTTTAGCCTCCAGTTTTGGGTGAACATTTGGTCTGTCATCAGTGTTGTGGTCTTCAGGTTCCGCTACATTTTTCCTGATAGACTCATGTCTAGGTGAGAGATTCAGCAAACCCAAAACATCTTTCTGAACTGTACTCATTTTTTTATTCTCACCTCGGAGTAAGCTGGCCGGACATGGCATGTTGGGTTTCTGGCTGGCGTTGGTCCAGTAGGTTTTTAAATTGTGGATTGCCTGGATTTTGCTATCCTGTTTGGATTGGTGCAGCTTAGGGGTGATTGCTGGGCTAGAAGAGGCTGAAACGGATCCTGCGGAGGAATAGGAAAGGGCTGGGGATGGAGCACTGTCAGCAGGAGAGCGTGAAGGTGAGATGTGGGCAGTGTAAGGCGAGCTGGGGTATTTCAGTTTGAGCTGAGCCTGTATGTGCACATCTGGGGAGACTGTAGGGAGAGGTGAACCCTGATCTTTTACTGAGAGAGATAACGAAGGGGATGAATGAGCTTGGCTGCTGTAGACTGAGCTGATTTTCTGCAGTGATGAGGAGCGGGATGGTGGTTTAGGCCGAGTTGGAGGAGGGATTGGGACAGAGGTAGAGAGCGGTGAAAGATGACTAGAGAGTGAGAGAGGAGACTTTAGACTTGCCCTACTTGTTGGTCGGCTAAATGCACTGGTCTCAGAGGGCTGAAACCCTTGGGCTCCATTTGTAGGAGTCAAAGTTGGGGTTGTTGGAGTGGACACAGATTTCTGTCTGCTGAGAGACTCATCTCTGCCCTCAGCTCCCTTCAGTGTCTTTCCTCTAAGGTTTGCCTTCTGCAGGCTCTCCACAGCTTGCATGTGGCTCTCAGTCTCCTCCAGGATCTTCTGGGCCAGCTCCTGGGGATCCAGTTGTCCTGCAGGTCCTGTCCTTTCCTCTTGGGATTTCACTGTGCTATCTGTCTCAGTGCTCGACTGGTCTGACTCAGAGCTGCTGACTTTTCCTTTCCGCTGAGGAGTTGAGCTGGAAAATGAAACATATAGATACATTTAAAAGAAGTTCAAGAGTAACTCTTTCTGACTTAACAAAAAGTATTGAACTTACATTTCCTTCTTGACTTTGGGGTTATTCTTAACTGTTAGTGGCAGCGTTGGAGCTTTTATTGGAGATGTAGGTGTGCTGATGCTTCCCTTTGAGGAAACTGTTAGAGGATACCCATGCCGCCCGGCAGATGCTCTCCCAGCACCAACTCTGCCAAATCTATGTCCTGCAGGTAGAGGCAGAGTGTCACACTCGCTTCCTCCTCGACCTAACGGCTCACTGCTTATAATGGAGTACCCCGCATACTCCTCGTCCTCTCCTTCTCCCGATAATACTCCTCCATTACTGGTCAATTGACCTCTTGATACACCACCTGAATGGGTGTAGAGGCCCGCGCCTTGACAAGGCTTCTCTGGCTGTTGATGTGAGCGCTGGCTGATGATGTCACTTCCTGCAGGCTCAGGTCTAGACAGGAAACTGAGAGATGAGGCAAGGGAGCTGAGGCTGTACACTGAGATGGCATCGCAGGAAAGGCTGTCAGGGCACATGGGGGGCAAAATCGAGGGTTGAGGTGGGTAGCAACCTAAGGAAAGGGGTAAAGAGTGTGGCTGGGAGGCTGACTGGGAGGAGGACAAAGACTCCAGGGAGGATGAACTGTCTATGCTAAGTCTCTTGGGAAGCTCTGTTGAGTCTGATTAAAGAGAGAGAGAGAGAGAGAGAGAGAGAGATTTGAAAAATTTGTTGAAAATTGGGAAAGATTTAGTAAAAGAGAAAGTCCAAAGTCATAACTTATTTTTACCAAACAGTGCTAGAAGAGACTGAAGGGCAAAATGCATGATGCGTCTGCTGGCCTGTTTTCCAGTCTTCAGCACCACTTCCTCCTGACCAACTTCACAAAGGTCAAAACCTGACAAAGACAGAGCACAAAATCCAGCCAAAAGCCAAATCTGAGTACTTCAGTGACAAATAGTAAGCTTTATGTTCTTCACTGCTAAAGTAGTTAGTTACTTTATTAATTCATTTTAGATTACAAAATGAGTATGATGATTCTATATAACCACCAATTCCCAAAAATGTTGGGATGCTGTGAAAATGTGAATAAAAACTGAATGCAAGGATTTACAAATCTCGTATACCCATAATGTATTCACAATAGAACACAAAAAATATCAATTGTTTAAATTGAGAAAATGTACAGTACCATCTAAAGAAACATATTAGCATGGACATGAATTTGATGGTAGTAACACGTCTAAAAAAAAAAAAATGTTGAAATAGGTCCATGTTTACCACTCTCTTCTTTTGACAACAGTCTGTAAACGTCTGGGAACTGAAGAGACCAGCTACTGGATTTTTGGAGTGGACTGTTGTCTTGTCTGATGTATGAATCTAGCTGCTTAACAGCTGGTTGTTCAGTTGTTGTATTTTTCATTTGATACGCCAGATGTTTGCAGGTGATCAAAAATCTGGATTGCAAACAGGCCAGTTCATCACCTGGCCATATTGTACAACAGCAATGGTTCGTTGTACAGCATGGGTTCATTATAATTGCGGTATGCGTCTTAGCATTGTCTTGCTGAAATATTCAGAGGCTTGTCTGAAAAAGATATAATCTGGATTTGACTATACACGGCTCTAAAATCTATATAAACAACACGTTCTCACTCTCGAGGCGTAATATTTTACGCTAGGTGTCAAATCGTCAACATGTTACGCTTCCTGGCACCCAACATATTCCTAAATGACAAGATCGGAAAAATGAGGAAACATGAGAACCGTTTGGAATCAATCCACAGATGTTCGTTCATTTTCCTCAAATTGCTTTGGTAAGCACTATTTAACGTGCTGATGTTTTTGACACTGTGGGCATGAGTTTGCTGTCTATTGTCAATAGCAGTCTTCAGTCTGGGTGAGTCCCTGCTGACTTTAAACATACTGTGGTGGAACCTATTCTTAAAAAACAAAACATGGATCCAGCAATTTTATCCAACTACAGACCAATGTCTAAATTGTCTTTTCTTTCTAAAGTCCTAGTCCTTCTTCAGCGCCACACCTTTCTATATAAAAATGGCATTAGTGAAGTATTTCAGTCTGGTTTTAAAGCACACCACAGCACTGAAACTGCTCTTTTAAAAGTTTTTAATGACCTTTTAACTTTTACTGACTCGGGAGATCCTGCCATTTCAATACTATGAGACCTCAGTGCTGCCTTTGACCGTAGATCATAGGATTCTTATCTCTCGGCTTGAACACTGTCGGAATCGAAGGGACTGCATTGGAGTGGTTTAAATCTTACCTGTCCAACCAATGCTTTTCTGTTAGATTGGGGGATACATCATCCTCAAAAAACCCACTTTCTTGTGGGGTCCCCCAGGGGTCCATTCTTGGCCCAGTTCTCTTTTCAATTTATATGCTCCCTATGGGTTTATTTTTTAAAAAGGATGTTAAGGCATGGATGACTTTAAACTTTCTTAACCTAAATGAACAGAAAGCAGAGGTGATTGTGTTTAGTTCCTGTGACCACTGCAACTTTGGCCCCTTAGAAATTTATAAAAAACCTTCTGCGAGGAACCTAGGAGTTATCTTTGACTCTAATCTAACGTTTGACAAACAGATTAATGCTGTAATCAAATCAGTTTCTTTCATCTTCGGCTACTTGCTAAAGTGAAGCCATTTCTCTGTTTTAGAGACTTTGAGAGAGCTATCCATGCCTTCATTTCATCTCACCTCGACTACTGTAATAGTCTTTACTCTGGTATTAGTCTGTCATCAGTTAGCTGTCTACAGCTGGTCCAAAACCCTGCAGCACAGTTACTAACTGGCACACGCAAGCGAGAACACATATCCCCCATACTGGCATCATTACACTGGCTGCCAGTTAGTTTTAGAATTAGGTTTAGGATTTTATTATTTGTTTTTAAGGTATTGCAGGGGTTAGCACCCTCATACCTTTCTGATCTTTTAAATTGGTACACTCCTGCAAGGTCTGAGGTCTGCGGATCAATTGCTGCTGGCTGATTAAAGCACAGAGATCGGCCCTTTGCCATGACTGCTCCTAAATTATGGAACAAACTGCCCCTTCACATCAGGACCTCCCCAACATTGGACACTTTTAAAACCTGTCTGAAAACCGACTTTTACTCCATGGCTTTTAAATCAAAATGAGTTTGTATTACTTTTATTTTTCTTATTCTTACTCAAATCTTCTAATTTTATTATTCTTTTTCTTAACTTTTATCATGTCTCCCGATGTTTTTATTTCTTTTGATTACCTTAATTGTACAGCACCTTGGTCAACATTTGTTGTGCTATATAAATAAATTTGACTTTGACTATTTGACAGATGGTGGTATGAGGCGTTTGTGCTAATATGGTGCGTTCGGTTTTTGCTGAAGGTGGTGCTTTTCTTTAATGCTAAACATCTCCACTTTGCTCTTGTCTGTGCAAAGGACATTGTTCCAGAATTTTTTTTATTTGTTCAGATGCAATAAAACAGCCATGCTGTCATGTTCTTTTTAGAGAGAGAAGGCTTTCTTCTGACAACCCTTCCAAACAAGCCATATATGTTCAGTGTTTTTCCAATTCATTACAAAGAACTTTATCATTTAACATACTAACTGTAGAGCTTGAGTCCTTTCTCACAAACATAATTCAGTAAAAAGCAAAAGTGTCTGATAATGGGTGTTCAGTAGGTGATATGAAAGCTCACACAAAGACAAACAGGAAAATAAGTAGACATATAAGCATCAAAGACAGATGGAAAAGGATAAACAAAAGTATTTACAATGTAAACCAAGAAACAACACTATAAATGAACCTTAATCAGAAGCCCAATGCATATAGATGTGTTTCAATATGTTCTGAATATTATAACATAATTTTTTGCTCTGTGCTAGTTTTTACCGACATTTTCTTTACTTACAACTGACATGGGTGATGCAGTAGATCACTGACAAGGAGGTATAAAAAAAAAGTGAAACTAAGTTTCTTTTAAGGATGACTCACCCAGTGCAGCCAGGAACTCGTGGCAGCCTGGCAGCCTCCAGAGCTGCACACTAATTGACACTTGAATGGGAGCCAGTGGAAAGTCTTGCTCTTTGTCGCCTGACTGCAACTGAACCAACACTTGGTGAAGCTATGGAGAGGAAAGAAGATATAATGACTGGAGTGCTGGATGAGTGTTTATACTTTTTCAGTTTTAACTTATTTATTACCTCACATTTGAGAACATATAAGGATTGTATTAAATAAAAATACTCCAGTGTAAATCAACAATTCTCAATAAACAAGGACAGATAAAGCACGCACTTCACAAAGAATATTCAAATAAAACATCTTAGTGTCTGAATGTGTTTGTGCCTGCTTTGACGAGTGTTGTACTTTTGAACTCAAGCCAGAAGTTTCATCATGAAACACTTACCATTCCTGCCACACTTTTAACTGCCTTTGTGAGGTGTGTATGACAGAAGAAGAAACAGAACTTTAGTTAATTATTTTTGTGTAATTGTTGTGTTTGAATTACTGTATTCTCAGCCATGCATGAATGATGATGTGCTTATGCAGGCAATTCTTGATGATACCCATATAGTATTTATGGAGGGCTACAGCAAGCAAAGAATGATGAAACCAAACAAATGACTGCAAAATGAAAAATTAGAGTGAAGAGTGGGGGGTGCTCTGCACTTTACCAACTAGCTATACAAGCAATCTGTTTTAGTTATGAGTGGTTAAAAGACAAGTGTGCAGAATATCTCATGACCATGCTGACCAGATGCATGCTAGGGTTGGGAAACAACAATGCATGCAGTGTTGAGTGTGTTTGCAGAAAGCAGTCGTGCAAATGAACTAGATTACTAACCATATTCAGTAAATTTTACTTCCCTACAGTTATGGAAAAAAATGGAAATCTCTCTCTTTCTGTATATATGCAATGCATGTAGGAGCTATGGATGAATAGAAATACAACATCCTTACTGACTAAGAAGCACCTAATAGCTCAGGGCATCAATTAATGGTGCAACATCAGTAGAACACAGTTACTATCAAAGCTAGAGATTGAGAGGCTACAACCCAGTGGGAATGAGTGAGCAGTGTGGACACAATGAGCCGACCCTGATAGAAGAAGCATTGGAAGTGAACTAGATGACGCTTAGCTACCTACAATGACAGAATTGCTGTTTTTACACCAGGACTCTAAGATCAGGCAAGCCGACCGGAGCTCTGCCTGGATTGACCATAAGACTCAGCCTATGACTCAGTGCCTTGAATAGTGTACAGGAACATCTGAGCTGCATATGGACTAAAAGTCCCCACTTTCAGATGGGGGGGGGGAGGCACCGCAAAGGTGGTTAAGAATAATAGGGGTATGGTCATGTCTGGGAAGAAGGGCCACAAGAAAATAGAGAGTTACCAGGGCCAGGAGGAAAAACTGGAGTAGATGTAGAAGGTAAAGTCTAAAGTTGTCCCAATGGTAATAGAAACAGGAGCTGTAACCCCAAAACAGAGGTCTCTGTTCAGAAGAGTGCATCTGCACCAGTTGGTCCTTCAGCCCCTGGTACAGCTAAAATAGAACACCCAAACTCCGAGGCCTCTGGTAGAGCACCCAAGTTTAAGCAACACAATAATACCATCCCCCAGCTTTTTGAGCTTGGAACTATCAACGTTACTTAGGTAAAGGCCAAGAATAAAAACAGGTGGTGGAGGGAGATCTTATTTTTTGATGTGCGTAGTTCTTCAACCACTGTCATGACCACCTGTCCAACATGATAGTACCTTATGAATGAGCTGTTCTCCAGCCTCAGATGCTGTGACCAGCTTACAGAGTGCCTGTAAGGCTGGAGGAGTAAGACCTGGGGATGCACAGAAAGTTAATCAGAAATTTCTATAGCACTGTCATATCTTGATCACGAACAACTAATACAACCTAGTGTAACATTTTACAAAAGAGCTATAAGTTGAAATAAAAATATAATCTGAATTATTCTCTTGCTAATATAGGGTATCTTGCAAAAGTGAGTACACCCCTCACATTTTTGTAAATATTTTGTTACATCTTTTCATGGGACAACACTGAAGATATGATAGTTTGATACAATGTAAAGGCAATAATGGCCGTGTGTTAAATTATTTAGAGGGGACAGCAAATTTACACTGTTGTACAAGCTGTACACTGAGTACTTTGCATTATATCAAAGTGTCATATCTTCAGTGTTGTCCCATGAAAAGATATAATAACATTTTTACAAAAATGTGAGGGTTGTACTCACTTTTGTGAGATACTGTACATTAAACAAATATGATTTTATCAGTATGACTGACATAGGAGATGTTTTGAATAATGGAAAAACTCTGTTACCAAGCAGTGACTGTAGAGTGGTACTGCACTGCTGCAGTCGATCCCCAGGATCTGACATAGGAAAAAAAACTGCCGCAGGGAGTCCAGCAACACTACCAGAGAAGTCCAACCGAAAACCCACTGCAGAGAGTAGGGCCTGCCACCCAGGCACCCCGCCGACCTTACCCAGCACAGAGGAGACATGTGGACATGAACAGAGAATACACAAAGGTTGACATTTAAAGAGAAGGAGAAGGAAAGACCAACACACAGACCTTATTCTCCACACTTTGCTGCGATGTGTACATTGGGTTACACTGGCCACTCTGAATGCGCTGTAGTGATTTCTCAACCTGTGGACAGAAACAGGCACAAATTGTGTTATTTAATCAGACTGGAACGTTCAGATGTGGGAAAAATGTGTTTTGAGGTGCCATTCATAAACAATTTAACATTTTCTGGACAGGACAAAACTGAAAGAAAAGTAAAAGAAAACATCTTGATTGATAATCATGCATTTCATTAGCAATCAAGATGTTTTCTTTGTGTTGAACACAATCATGGGTGCTTCCTTAAGAAGCATTTTAATTCCAGAATTCACCAGAAAATAGCTTTACCATTTCTCATTGATACCTCAGATCTCTGTGCGCGGATTGTGGAGTGATATTTATACAGCAGTTTTCTAGTCTAAGCTCTACTACAAGCGTCATTCACACATTCATACTGCACTTTATTCCATAAAAGAGGACCGTAGCCACAATGGCAGCACTCACTGACATCATTCTGGACTCTGCATCTTTAAGGCTTTAATGTTAGGTTAGCATTTTACCCCCCTGCCATGCTATTTAGAGCCAGACGTGACCATAATGGTCTAAGGTATCAGCTAACACCAGCATGCTGGAACCGCAATGACTCTGAAAGTTCGGCAACATGCTCTGATGGAAGTCTGATGATGATAACTAAAGTCATGATTCACTGTATTAGATTTTTATTGAGCTTCATGAGAGCTAAGTATAGTTTCCCCAGTCTGTCTCGCTAACACATTTGAATTCTTTTTCCTTAGATGGAGGGAAAGTGATGTCCCCAAATCAAGAGGGGTAGAGATAAGAAGCACTGCAGAAAAAAAGCAATTTGCTGTCAATGTAGGTTAACACGTTCACACAGACCTTGCGCTGAATGTAATGACTTTCTTTATTGTTCAATACTTCTTTGATGCAAAGTCATAAAGTCATTAAAATAGCTCAGTATGAATTATCTAAACTTAATATAATGTTTTCATATGGGTTTTTAAAAACTTTTTTCAATCAACAGTCTTTAATTAAATGACATAAAATAACTGCTATAAAAAGCAGTTAAGCCACTATTCACATTTGTGATCTTTACAATAGTTAATCTTTGGATGCTCTGACAAAAAATAAAAACCACATTTCTAATTAAAGTGATTAAAGTCATGCTCATTTAAGATTTTCCAGTAGTATTTATGACAAATCGGCTGTCGTTTTATTGAACTGATATCTAAATTCATCTTTTGAATTTTAAACTTACTAATAGAGAACTAATAGAGAAAGCGACACTGCAAAGTTTGAAGAAGTCTTACCAAGTGTAACAACACTCTCAGGGCATCCCTGGCCCTCTCTGGGTACTGAAGGATCTCTACCAGGGCTTGGCCAACCAGTGACATGGGACTGTTCAGCTTTACATCATTGCCAATAAGCATGTAACCTAAAAAAATACAACAAAACACATCTTTCGGTTTCTCGTGCATATTGAAACTGTGTTTTTTGGAGTTCTGGAATGTAAATGTAGCCGTCTCCAAAGCACTTTGGGTTAGCTTCTGTTGTTTAAATGTGCTGTAAGTTATGAATAAAATAGGCATGACATGTTTAAGGTAAAATTTTCATCGCCAGTAAATAACTTATGTAACACAGTGGGCTATATAATGAACTTGAAGAATAGAAACAAAGTGTTGATCCTGCTGTGCTAGTATCGACCCAAAATCAATACCAGCATTGGTATCAATGCTACCGATAATTGGATTGATCCGCCCACTTCTAGTTCATGCTTTGCTCTTTCTCATACCTTGCTTGAACACACATATCACTGCTGACCAGTAACACCCCAACAGACTTGCCATATTGGATACAGTGGCCACAACAATTATTATTTTTTTTTAGTTTATAGCGTTTACGTATCATCTAACATATCTCAGACATTGACATTGCTAAGTTGTACAAACTAATTGGTTCCTTTTAGCTCATTTGAACGAAGAAATTGGTTAGCTGATAAATGCTCCACTATATTTTACAGCTACTCCTCTTGTGTCTGCGTGCTGTGGCTCAAAGCAACTGAGTCAAGCTTTAGTATTTTACATTAATGATTGCTAACCAGCCCAGTTGGAGGGGTGTGAGAAGTGCTTGCTGCTCTGCAGTGTCTTCATGGCTTCCGTCAGAGCTGCACTGGCTTTGGTCCCATTGTGAAGAGCTGTGTAGAAGGTGTGTGTGAACAGTTTAGAGGCAGCTACTGGCACAGGCCACAAAGAGACACACACACACTGGACCCCTGCAGCCAAGAACGCTCGAGTCAACCCCACAACTCCATCTGCTGTTACCTTGCTGCCGGACTCTGGGTACAACCTGAGGTGGCAAAGGGTCAAAGAGTTACATGGGACAGTCAAAAGCTAAGAAAAGCCTGTGTAAAAGACCAAATCTGTGAATAGTTATACCTCAGGACCACCAGTTTGACAGTCAGGCAAAGGTCCAGTATATCAGCAGCAGTAAGAAGGAAATCTTGAAGTGGTGGACTATCACAGATACTCTCTACCTCACACACACTTTCACCATCCTCACTCCTTTCATCTGCTCCTCTGAGTCTCTCTGGGCTGCTCTTTGAAAACAAACCCTTCACTTTTCCACCCTGATCTGCTGCTTCGCCTGACACTGACATCCTGCGGGGTGATTTCTCCTTTGGTCGGCCACCTGCCCCATCTCCTCCAGCATGCTCTTGGCTAGGGGCAAGGACCAAAGCTGCAAGCTTCCAAGATATATGTGTGGCAAAGTGAACACACTCTGCCTGACTCAGAGCTGCTAAAACGCGATCCTTTGTGGCATTGGCTCCCGTTAGGGGATGACATCCCAGCTGCTCTCCCAGCCACAGGGCTTCCTCTTGGGCTGAGGGTAAGGGCCCCCATAGCCAACGGTCCATGACACTCGGTGGCAAATGAGGTGCACCGACCACTGCAGCCATTTCGCCTCCATCTGGACAAAATAAGTGTCCACTGCGTCGAGCATGAGGCTGCAGTTTGAACACATTTGATACAGAAATATTACAATAAGCAATACATTTTTTAAATAATTAATTGAATAAACACATATGTCGGAATTGTTTGATTCAACAAATACAATATATGTTACTTTACATCTGTTATCAGAAATCAAAGGGTACCAAAATGACTTACCTTTATTGTTGCTCCCAGGCTGGCTAAAGAAGGTACAGAAATTAGACTGAACCTTTCATACAGGTACTCATTAGAGGAGCTGCCTTTGAGCAAGGCAAATGGAATTAGGTATAATTCTCCCTCCAGAACTAACACAAGTTGTCTGTGTCTACCCACGGGTCCACTACTGTGCATCAGGCCCTGTATAGAGAGAGGTGGAGGGCAATCGTAACACACAGATTTGTGTGAAAAACCATAAAGAAGACAAATTCAAATCGTGAATTGAAATATAAATCTTTCCTTGGAGACACACATACATACCCCTTCCATTGGCGCTATGAGCAAGTCATAAAGGGCCCGCAGAGGAGGTTTGCCAGTGTTACTTGGTCTGAAGAGGGGAGAAGATAAGCCGTCCTTTACTGGAGATACAGTGGTACTGTACAGACTCGTCATGCTCTGACAGCTTCTATTAGAGGCAGAAATACACAAGAAATGTAATACACTCCCACATATAGTTATCCTGTTTGAAAACAGCTATGAACCTATAATCATGATGATGTTATAGTCATGCAGCTCTATGAAGCTCTACTTAAGCACTGGTGATATTAACTGAACGGTAATGTTAGCTTGCTAACTTGCTCATCAGGATTTTGAGTAATGTGTTATAGTTTAACATTTCCTTTTTTGTCACAATGAACAGAAGTTTTGCAAATTCAAGTAACTATAAAAACATATTTGCAATGTTTTTGTTTCCCTTCAAGTTCCTATGCATACAGCTTCTTACAAGTTAAATGTATCTAATCCTATGAAGACCTTTGTATTATGACTGCAACTGCAATATTTTGTGCCCATATTTTGTATCATGATGATCTGTTTAGTTTCCAATTAGATCCAATTTTTCACTGCATGTTTCAAAATGTTTTAAATGTTTAAATTATTCGTTGTGTAGCAACACCTTGGTGAGTTTGTGTTATGTTTAAATGTAGTGGGAAAAAAAAGTTGTGAAAAATGGACTTCTCATAGTTGTAGATTTCTGTTTAAATACTGTATTATTGAGTTATTCTTGGTCATTTTGGACTTATGTCAGGTTCACTTCCTGTCGTTATCATTTGTCCCTTCTTAGTAATCGTCTGGGGTACTGACTTGATTCAAATTTGTCTTGCCTGTGTCCAGTTATCCAGCCAGCCTTCCCAATGTACAGTATACATGCACACCTCCTGTCCGTTAGTTCATACTTCATAGACTGTCCTGTTTTCTTTGGAGCCAAGTGATCCAGCAGTTTCTTGTGGTCCTTGTTTATGACCTTTTGCTATGATTCATGAACTTGGTTGTTCTTTACCTGTTTTATTTTCCCCATTGCCTGTCTATCATCTGTTTTGGAATTAAAATTAGAACTTTGGGCTTTTTCTTTTTCTTGTTTTGCATTTTTGGTTAGCCACTAGTTAGCTTTTAGTTTGGCCAAATCTCTCAATGTAAGATAAATTGAAAAAAGCCTGTTGCTAATAATGTAGTAGAGGAGATGCAACTAGTACCAACTCACTATGCAGTGAAGTTAAGTAAAGTCAGAGCTAAACCTAAAGTAGCACCCTCTGGACATATAGCCAATATACTCTCGCAGTTTACAAGAACTCTGAGTCAAACCTGTTGAAGAGATTATTTCTGGACACCATGTGGAGATAGCCTGTAGGGTCTGTGGCAGAGATGAGTTTTTTGTTCAGCTCCTCAAACTGCTGCTCCAACAGATCTCCAGCTTCACTCTCTGTCTCACTACTTGAGAAGACTCTGCAAAATGGCAATAGAGACAGTGATACATAATTGTTCTATTATACAGCATTGTCTAAAGATTGCAACCAAAATGCTAGGTGCATGCATATATCTCTAACAGTGTCAACTCAAAAGCATAAGTATGGTCAAACATTCTGTTTACAAGCAGAAGCCAATCAAAAGAAGGCAGGCTTAAAAAGAGGGCGGTCTTAAAGGGAGAGAAGAAAGTAGTTTGTTTCAGACTGATGAATGAACTGACAATCTTAGGAAAATGTACAAAAGGAAGAAACAAGTAGTAATTAATTACTGGAGCAGTATGTGTTAGAGCGATGACTTGGAATTAAAATAACTTTTTATGGAATCCTCTGGCTGTAGATTTTACACACTCAGGAAGGTAATAGCAGTTTCTGATACCTGGATACATGCTAAAGGGCAGTAAAGTGCTACTAGTGGTTTGGAAAACATTTTTATGCTGTGTATGTGCAAAAACTTGTCATGCTTAGATGAGTGGGACTCATAATAAACCACACACAAACAGCGTGAATCACCACAATATCAACACACACACACACACACACACACACACACACACACACACACACACACACACCAGAAGTAGTGAATCTGCTGGCTGCAGTGACTCCACTGCAGTGGTTTTCACAGTAAGTTGAGATGCAGTTTGTATGGGGGAACATTTGCTGGCACAACACATGGTACTGATTTACAAAGTCATCCAGCTATGCCAACCAAGGCCTGAGAGTTGTGGGCAGTACAATTGAGAATAGAGAAAACTGGCAGGAGAGAGAGCAGGAAAAAAGGAAGACAGACACAAAGCATGCGTCTTCTCTATCATGTTTTGCTCACTTTTGTTTAAATGAGAGAAGGTAACTCTAAGCCTCAAATGTCAAACACATGGTAAGCCTACAAAAAAAGTCAATGTCTCCAAAGTCAGTCTGACTCTTTCTTTGTATAAAATGTAATTGGAGTCCATCAAGCTAATGTCAAGACAAATCATCCAAAGCCTCAAATATTAACCATGCTAGCCCCAGACAGAAAAGTCATATCTCTACAATAACTGAGATTTATCTTCTGTAGACCATGACATGTACCACATTACCATAGGGTGACTTAATAACAATGATCTTAACAAACAGTTCCACAGTTTAGCACACCAATGAAACAATTTTGACCAGATTAGAGGTTTTTTTATGCCTGTGTTTTCTGGGCTGACAGTCTTTCTCTTGGATACTGCTAGACTCTGCCTGGAAGCCTATCCTTTCTTCAGATATGTAAAATGTACTATACACAGAGGGAAATACAGATTGAAAATGCATCTATAGTGATTAATAACATATTTACCATAGTTGTTAAGCTCAACACAACTGGTCAACCACGTAATTTTTCTTTGTATGTGTGCTAGTAGTCAGACAGGGATTTAAGACATGTCACAAAACTTTGAACATCAGCCTTGTGGAAAGGCTTAAACATATGCTCATGAGACCATGAAATATCTGCATTACGCTCCATTAACCTGTTTAATGGAATAAAGTTGTCACTGTCAGCTACAAAGTTATGTCAGCAGTATGAGGCATAAAGAAAATACTTCATTGAGTTAAAAGGTGCTGGTAACAATCATTCACTGGCATCTATCAAAGGTGGCACTACCTGTTATAATGACTATCCACTCCCAGAGCCTCTCTAGCATTGTGGATGTATTGCTCCAGAGAAAGGGAACCTCCAACAGCTCCTCCTCCACTTTGTGGGCTCCCACTACCATCCTTGAACTCAGACACCTCCAGTCCTGCTTCTCCAAGATACACCTCATTAAACTTCACGATACCTGTAACATTTCAGGAAAAACATAAGCAGGTTACAGCACTATGTGTGTGCCCATTTGTCAGCATGTGTGTGTCTGTGTGGCAGTATGTAGTGCAGACACTAAATGGTGCTTCCGTCGTTGTTTCTTAAGGGTCCCCTTAGAGGAAAAGCCATGCAGCCAAAGAGTGATCATTCTCTTTGCAGTATAAATTTCCTCAAATGTCATATCTGATATATGTAGATATAAGTGACATTTCAGCCTGCAGGTAGCCCTGGAGGAAAGACTGCAAAAAGTGTTCACCCTTTGAAGAGAATTAGTGGTAAATGTCACCCTAGCATTACAAAGACCTTAAGGATGATCGTCTCAGTCAAGACCCTTTTTGGTTTTGTCTCACAGAACTTAAATGAATTCCCACTGAAGTCATGACAACATCACTACATCTCAGTATACCATGCCACAGCAGTTATGACAACTCATAGTACAACACAGATAGTACAACTCTGTTTTTTTTATACCAAAGATATAATCCCTGCTTTTTTTATTTTTAACTTTTATACATGCTCTTATGCCTTCCCATCCCATTGGAATGGGTGTAGGACACGTGGTAGAGTGTGTGTGATAATTATAAAGGCTGCATGCATGCAGTGCTTTAAGTAATCAATAAGCCTTGAAAAGTGCATATAGATCCAGTCCATTACAGACTACTGTAGTCATATTACTTAAATGTTATTGATGACTAAACTGAAAAGTTCTTCAGGCCCATGGAAACATGAATCCCTTTCTACAACAGCTATGTTAAGACCAATTCCAAATGATTTTGCAAACCTGAATTTCATACTTCTCATTAAAGCATTACTTAATCATGATTATTGACTTAATTGGAAGTGGACACCAGTATCAGTACATTTATAATTATGCACCTATTAATCCCTTTAAAAATATGGGACATTTTATTTACAACTATTTTAGAAAAAAAGCACAGAAATATCTGAACGTCTTTTCTCATCTCCAAAATCTCAGTAACGGAGGGACGGAACATGGTCCACTCTGACTCAGTGTCTCCAGCCTCACTTAGTGTGCTGTAAAAGTTCTGCTGGAGGTGGGAGTAGAAGATCTCACAGACCAGGGCCTCTGCCAGACACTCCCACTGCATCGTCACTACACATCTGGGGACATCAGGCCTGTCCAGCATCATCCCCATCACACGTCAGACCTGATCCAACTCAGTACCAAGTAGTGATCGCTTGAATGCTCTGATATTATCTTTACCCGAGTATCCAAGACATGTGGACAGAGATCTGATAATATAATTACGAAATCAATCATGAACTTGCATACTAGAGCATCCTGTGTTAAGTGTACTAATGGACACCATTATACTCAAACCAGGTGTTCAGAACAGACCAGTCCTTGGGTTACATTGAGTAGGCCATTTCTTTCAATGTACTCCAGTATAACAGTGGAGTCCCCAGCAGATACAGGGACTCTAAGGAAGCCAGGCACACTGAACTGTTGGAAGGTGCAAGAAAGAAACAATCCTATCCCCTAAGGAAAACCTGAGCATACAGGCACCAAGCGACAAGTATGCAAATATTAGTAAGGAGGTAGTGAGGGTAACTATGAAGAGGATGAAGAGTGGAAAGGGTTAGAGGCAGGATGGAGTGGCTGGAGATGTGTGTCAGGCAGAAAGAAAAGGTTTATAGGAGGATAGTGAGGCCTGCTATAATGTATGGCTTGCAGACAGTAGCACTTACAAAAAGACATGGGGCAGAGGTCAAGCTGACAAAATTTAAGATGTTAAGATTTTAACTGGTAGTGACCAGGATGGACAACATTACAAATGAGTACATCAGAGAGACAGCTCAGGTTGAGCAGTTTGGAGAGAGGGAAGGTTGGAATGGTTGGACATGTGAAGAGGAGGAATAGTGGATATATTGGATAAATGACTTTGAAGATGGAGCTGCCAGGAAGACCACAGAGGTAGATCATGGAGAGGTTTAATATTGTCACGTAAGAGGTCTGAGTATAGAAGATGATGGTAGGAATAGGGTGAGATGGAGATAGCTAAAGGGAGCAGCCTCAGGCTCCTTCCCAACCAGAAAAGTGATGTTCCATGTTCCTAAAGGCAACTTTGTCAGCCTACGACTCTGAATCTGAATGAAAAAAGCATCTTCAGTAATTTTATAAAACCGATCAGCTTAAGTTTGTGTAAGCGTGGCAGTGAACCTGTGCCTGGAGATATTAGCCAGCTGTACAGAAAGCCTTCTGCCAGAGAATAGTAGAGAACCATGGCCCTCTGACTGTTGACTGTTTCCAGGATGTGTTCTATGGTGACCGGGATGTAAGGGTCAGTGCTCGCTGCTTGCTGACTTCCTTTCTGGCGTTCCACTAGGAGATCAGCAAAGGCACGTGTGCGCCCTCGCTCAGCTATAGCTAGTGCCTCATCGTGCCGGCCTGAAAGAATAGGAACATGTGGAGCTGTGAGTTAAAAAGGAGCAGATCTGAAAGAGCAGACTCTTTATTCTGGTAGCATTGATAAAGAAATACAACTATCAGACATTAGGTGATAATTTGTGCCTTATTAACAGAGACCAATGTATAAGGTGCAAAAATGAGAACAGCTAACATACAAAGTGATGTACAGTAATTTATGCCACAAAGAAACAACACAACAGGTCAAGAGGCCAGTTCTGTCACCTAAGCTGACGAGGACTCTCTGGAGAGCCTGGTACGAACTGGTTTGCAGATCAAACAGGGAGAGCTTGTAATCCATACTGTGCTGCATCTCATGACGAATTGCCTCAAATAGCATAGATGCTTTGTATAACTGGAACAAATAGCAAATAAACATACATTGCAATGAGTACCAATCCACAAATATACAAACCATCCATTGTTCCAGTGTTCAACTGGATTTAGACTGTGAAGACATTTTTATACTCTTCACACCTTTTAATGTGTCTCCATGGTTTGTTGTAAATCACCTGCATTTGTTATTCGTTAACAACTTTTGTATTTATTTTTTGTGTATTGTGTGATATAAATGGCCAGGCTTTATTTCAAACCTGTTTGAGCATATAGGTACAGTGCTGGCCACTGGGTGGCAGTATATACGCACAGCAAGAGTTGGGAGTGTTTTGGCTCACTTTTCACCATGAAACGGAGAAGCAAAGTTATTATAATTGTGCATTTTCTAATAGCTAAAAAAATATTTTCAGTTTTTGCTTTCATTTTATTTACAGCATAGTTTTTTAAAACAGTTTTAAATGAAGATTATGTTATGATATGTTTAATGTTTGTCATTATGTTAGTTTTAATACATTCAGAACCTTACAATAACAATACAGCAAGAAAAACAAATGACACACAGTCACAGATTGTATTCATAGGTAGTCCTATATTCAAAACATCACACAGATATATTCCATTTTGATAGAATGCATTTAGTTATGTTATATTTATCAATTTTTAATAATCAATGTTTTAACCTGTTACTGTGTCTACACAGACTGTAACTCTCTTCTCTTTTCCTTGTTGCTTAACTTGCAGTTCTAGTTATAGAAAGAAACATTAAATTGTTTAAAAAATTGTCTTTAGTGTTAAATGACAAAATCTGATTTGGCACCATTACCATGAAGAACTGAAGGCGGTGTTAGTTTTAAATTATATTAACTGTCATGGTTCCTGGTTGCTGGCCCAAGGTTTTTGCGTTTTCAGAATGTTTTGCGGTTTTCTTGTTTGGATTATCTTTCTATTATAGTTCAGTTCTCTTTCTCTTGGTCTTTAGGTTTATTTTGGGTTAAGATAAGACTTCTGTTTGAGTTCCATAAGCTTCTGTTTATGCTCTACTTTCCTAGTGCCTCTGAGTTTTATTTATTTTCCTAGTTAATGGTTTCTTGTTTAATTATGTTAATTCCCTTTCGTGTCCTAGTTTCATCTCTGTGTCTTGTTCTCAGCGTCTCCTGGAAGTCATTCTTCTCTCCCTCTTTAACGCTCTGTCTCTACAGTCGTGTCCCTGACAAAACCCTGACAGTTCTGTCAAGTTCATATATTTTAGTCTGGGTCTCAGTGATTGTTACTTCCTGTTTCATTTAATAGTCCGTTGTCCCATGTGCATAATGTTTAGTTTTGCCTCCCCCTCCTCATTAGTCAGATTCAGTTCAGCTGCGTTCCCATGTGTCTCAATTTCCCCTAATCAACAGCCTGTGTATTAATTGTATGTCTCCCCTTGTCTTTAGTCATGTTCTCCCTCAAGCTGTGTGCTCTGTGCGGTCCATGGTCGGGGTTGTCTGAGTGATGAAATAACCAAATTATAATCAAAAATGTCACTCACATATTCCATTTTGATAGAATGCATTTAGTTAGGTAGCATTCTCTTACTTCTAGCTAAGTATTTATACAAAGGGTCATTTATTTACTTCTTTAACCCATTACTGTGTGTACTCAGACTGTAACTCCCTCGCCCATTTTCCCTCTCTCCCTCAGATTTGTGTTATGTATTTTAAATTTCTTAAGTTCAGCAATAAAGCAGCCTTTTGAGTTTATGTCTTATCTTCAGAATCCCGTGTTTGTGTCCAAAACCTGCCTGCCGTACAGCAAACCTGACACTGACAGTCATTTAATATCTTTTAAAAGTTTATATAATAAAAACTATGCAAATTCGACAATAATACCAGATATTAATAAGACATAGTAATGCAGTAGAGAAAATTATTATCTGTCATAGATTAAAACAGTCTTAAGCAGTATTCTACACTTCTACACTGGATTTCTCACTTATGCAAACAAAGCTGGGAAACAAAGAATAATGAGGAAAAACCAAAGCTCTCTGTTAGCCTGTTAGTTATTGTTAGGCATTAGTAAAACTTTTCTTTGAAGTGGCTCTAACGCTGGACTCTAACACTTGGTGAATAAACTCTCATATGATGTGAGAATGTAACTCAACTGTTTGTCTGAGGGAAAGCATGACTTTAAAAACACTCGTGGCTAACATTAGCTGGCATAATTTGGAGGCATAATGGCATAATGTGGAAGATATAATTGCACATTATTCTATGTATATTTATGAGTACGATATCCCTTTTTCTATTAAATAATCTAAAAAAATCACCGGCTGTATCTTTAATTATTTATAGAACAAAAAGAGGGGCACACCCATTCACACTCACATTCATATATATGGCCAATTTAGAGTCACCAATCAATTTAATACATATGTCTTTGGGTTGTGGAAGGAAGCAAGTTCACCCAGAGAGAACCCACACGGGCACAAGGAAAACATGCAAACTCCACACAGAAAGGCACCAGCTACCTAGCAGGTTCAAACCAGTAACTTCATGCTGTGAGACAAGTTAATTTGTAAAATATGGTTCCTATTGCTCCCATATACTCCTACAAAGACAGTATAGAAGGGTTTGCTTTATGGTTCATACATTGTAATTGACAATTTGCTTTTTCAGTTGGATCTGCCCTGTGCTCACGGTGCCTATTTTCAGATGGCAAGGTAGAAAATGGTTTCTTGAGGTTTCACAAGATTTAACAATGTTTCTCTTAAATCTTAAATGCACACACACAAATTGCATCTTTGCAGTTGAGAACACATGCATAAATGCATACACATACACACCTGGTGCTGTGATTCCTCCAGGTTTCCACTGGCCCAAAGAGACAGGCCCAGGCGATGGCGTATCTTTGCTTCATCTTCTCTCCGACCTAACTGCTCTGCCAGACGCAGACCTGGGGAAACAGACAGCAGAGGAGATCAGACGCTAGTTCCAAGAGGCTGATACGAAAATCATCTCTTCCAAAGTCCTGGCACTTTGACGCTTGTGACAACTGTTGCTGTACTGAAGTGAATTCTTACTGACTCAGCCAGCAGCACTCACATTTGCCATTCCTTTTCTCCCACTGTTTCTTTTGTCTTTCTTCACCCTTGTTTTTTTATGCAGCTGATTCAAATTCAATTCAAAAGTCTTGAAATCTTCTCCTTCATCTCAGATATGTTTCATCTACTCCTGCTGCGAGTAGCAAGTTGTATTTAGTTCTCATTAGGCTCTCAGATTGTGCAGAAGCTCATCAAATATCAAGTTTTCTTCACGCTTCTCTGCCTGTTTGTCTCTGTCTGGGCCAGTGATGGTCTGTGTGAGTATTGGTTGGGAAAGTTAATTGGAGACACACAAGTGATTTTTTTTTTTACTCTGTCCTAACCTCAACTCTGAGCTGAAATTCTTTTTGCTTGTCGAGCTAATGATCAATTAAAATCCAGAGGATCTGTGAGCCAAGTGACAAAGCATGACTCTGTCTTAGAGGCTCGATGAAGCCTGGATGAGTTCATAAATTAACCCAGTCACTCATTTTAAGATCCATTACAATTAGACTGTATTTTAATTTTATCAGCCTTTTAATGTGCGCATGTCTTTTTAATAGGAAAGAGATCAAAATGGGATTATTTTCAACAAGGTTGATGAGACACAAATATGTGTTCCAAAGAGAAGTCTAGTTAGAGATGTAGTTAAATCAAACAGGATTATCGACAACAACCTGCCTGAAGGAAACCACACTCCAGGGTACACAGCTGAGCACTGATCCTGTATTAGCCTGTGTCAGACTCATAAATACCTTTCATGCTTCTTGAGGATTTCAAAAACACCTCGCAATGTTCTCAGTCTTAAACAACTCCGACTTTAAAGAAGATACTCACACGTAGATCAAAGTATGTGCTAAGAGCCAGAGCCTCCCTACATGGTCTCTGTACGACTGCAGGGGGAAAATGGTGACTAAGTTTTTGCTCGCTTTTCATCACAAGTTTGTGGATACATGTCAAAAATGTATAGTGCTTTTGAACACAGTGGAAAAGTTTAGATCAAAAACTCCTATCCTGCTGCTTTTGATTCAGATGTTGGTATCAAACAGTATGCTATATAACTGTTTCTTGTTGTTCTCAAAGCTTTGAAATTTAGTCTAGTGAACAGTGTTTCTGCACAAAAATTTCTCAATTGTTTTCTGTTCCTGGACACAAATGTTGAATGCTGGCATTATTTGGACTTTTGAGTTATGTTTTCACTTGCTGCTGGTTAGGTTAGGAAGCAAAACTACATATTTTTTTTGCTTGGTGGTAGACAGACTTGGTTAGGTTTAAGTAAGATTACGTGGATTAGCATTAGAGAAAAGAAAATTAATTGGTCAGGTTTAAACAATAGTCACACTTAGTTGAGGCCAGATAATAAAACTCCTGGCTTGGGCCTTTTTGTGTCCCGTTTATCAAACTGTTAATAAGCACTTCAGCACTCACAATCATGTATTTATAATGTACTTAATATAAGATGGCAGTAAGAAAAAATTTCTATCTTTCGGTTTGTGGCTTTCCTCGCAGTTTCTGGTTGTAACCCACAAAAAAGACAGACCTAGTCCCTAATGAACACAGACAGCAACAATCATTAATACCCACACATTAACAAAAGTAAGTACTTGTTCATAAACATACCTCATTCAAGCATAAAAAAGAGATTAACCAGTGTTGTGTCTACATATATGAAAAAAAAAAGCCGTTGCTGCAAAAAACACAGTTAGTTCCAGTTTCATTAGTTGAATATATGAAAAAGTAAAATATAGCACAGTTTGACAGACATAAAATATTAATTTTGCATCAACAAGGTGATTCCCAAAGAGCTAATAGCCAAAAACCTGGTATGTTTTAGCATGGTGTCCAGTGTGTGTTAAAAACTTTTGAGAAAACTGGACCTCGATGAACTATTGCTTTCGTAGGTCCTTCATTCCGGCAGCTGACTGTACAATGCTCACACAAAATAAATACCTGCTAAAATATATATGTGTATATTATCACTCTAACTGCAGTTTAATAGATAAAATAAAAAAATCTCTGTGACATCTCTTCTAGTGTATTTTACTGTATATGGCAACCAGTTGTACATGGTACAAATCACTCTTGTATAGTATCTTGGCTTTAAAAAAAATATTATTCTCATTGATTTTTCTGTTCCACTTTTTTCATCTATTCTTCCCGACCCTTTGCTCAACACACCAAGGGAGTTTCCCAAGTCTGGGATATAGGAAGTCTGTCTTTGGTAGGATGCTAACTATCTAACTAGTTAGATAGTTAGCTAACTAACACCACCTGGGTCTGGGTGCAGTTCCCCCCCTCCAGGGGCAAGGGTACCTAGACCCGGTTCGTAGAGTACGCTTGGGGAGTGTGATCGTGTGTACAGCGTCTCTTTATGTCTGTCTCCACGTTGGTTGAGTGTGGAGTAAGTGCATATGAGAGCATGAGGGTGGGAATGGATGTTTGTGTCTGTGTGTGCCCGTATGTCTGTGTCTATATGTCAGGTTGGGTGTCAGACGCCACCTCTCTGGGGACATCTCAGGCCCTCCAAGGTTTGGAGGCCTTTCTCCCCCCACCACTTCCCCTGCCAGTGGCGGACTCCCTCAGGTGTCGGTGCGTTGGTGGTTCTTTGTGTCTGGGGATGGGCATCCAGGTACACACCGGCTCACTCCTTGGCGGCCGCTTATCGGGGCCTGGAGCCTGGGGCTCGCTCGGGCCACTTCAGAGGTGGGGTGCCCCCGGCCTCTCGGCCTGGGGCTCGGTCACTCAGGCACAGCTGGCTGCCGGTGGAGCTCACGGGCGCGTCACTGCAACTCCCCCTGGCTTCTGCTCGGCGGCTGCTGAGTGAGCCCTCATCTGGGACTCTCCTCAGCTCTTACTGGGACAGTGGCGCGGCTGCCCCTCTGTTGGTCTTCCTTGGTCTCTTGTGTTCTGGGGGCCTCTGGATGTCTGGAGTTTTGATCTCCTCCATACCTGCTTCATACCCTGGAGGACGGGGCTGTGGCTCCCCACACTCCCTAGCAGATCGTTACATGGAGAAACCTTTGGAATGCAAGCATGCTGATCCACACAGGCGTACACACGGGTATTCACAGACGCGGACTACAGCTTTCTTGGCTGCTGCCTCAAAGCACATTGTGTGCTGTCTATCTTGCGTGCTGCACAATATCGTTTATTATTTAGTATCTACTGATATCTACTGCTAGCTAGTTTATTGTGATGGTGCTGTTTTTTTTATTATGTTGCTCTTTGTTGTTTGCTTTCTCTTCTGTTTTTTTTCTCCATACAGGTGACCCAGGTGTTTTGTTTGTTTTTCTTTCTTTCTTCCCCCCTTTCTCACCGTCTCTTCTCCCCTTTGGTTTTCTTTCTCTCCCTCTCTTTCTTTCATTCTTTCTTCCTGTCCTATCCCCCAGTCATGTCTGTCCCGTTTGTAGCAACTGAAAATAAAATAAATTCATAATTATAATAAAGGTCAATCAAATGGACCAATATGGCAAGGCCATGATGATCCACTTGGTAAAATAAATCCGCTTGGCATCTTTCTTGGCCTTAAGACAACAATTCTGATGGCTAAAGATCCAAACGGGACACAAAAAAAAAAAAAAAAAAGGATGCTAACTATCAAGAGGCAATTCTTAAGGAAGGGAAATATGGAAAAAACTATCTCAAATTAGACAAGAACTGGACTGAAAATCAGTGTCAATTGGTCTGATAATAATAATAATGATCCCAATAATTCTGTCTCCTTAAAATATACACCCAAGACCACAAAAGATGGTTACACAGACCCCACAAATTTCCTTTAAATTAAAGTTTTACAACTCTGTAAAGACTACTGTTAGTATTAATGGAATATGTTAAACCCTATGATTGTAACTAGTTTTATCACTACCCTGCCTATCTAGCAAAGCAACAGAGCAATTAATCAATTAAGATTTGTCATCCACCAGAAAAGTGGGTAACTTAATTGGACTGAGCATTGGGGGCTGTGTCCATAGGCAGCAATTTTCGTGCTCCCAAGACCTATTTTCTTTATAAGTCCTATAACGTTTAGTAGTGACAGCTCTCTAAGTGTCCTCAGTGCATCACGTTTCTTCCCGTCACACTAGACTATCAGTTAAAAAGTAGTTTTGGACAAATACCACACTTATCAATGTTACTTCTATATATTACCAACCAATGAAAATCACACCATCAGCCATTGTGGGAACACTAGAGAGTTATTTCTGAAAATCACGACCACCATTTTTATGATCTCAAATGTACGAAGGAGTATTAGGGCCACATTAAGAAAAAAAATAATTATTGATCATTTTGAGAATAAAGTTGAAATTTCCGGCTCGGGTTGACCGGGTTCTTCCCACGCGTTGACCTCTTGAACGGCATGGGGGACGCCTCCCTCCCCCATGCGGTCAAGGGACGCTGGTGGGGCCTGCTCCACCTGCTTATGGTGTTCACTTTATGCTTTAAAAATCAAATATAGAAACCAATGGCTTACTTCACACTGTCCAAGAGGTCTTACACGGTCTGTTATTTACATGCAGTGCTGTGATATTTCCCCCTTAATTTTAAGCAGTTGTGCTTATTTAATCTTATAGAAAAGAGCAACTTGGGGTTACTGAAGACTTATTTTAGGTTATGTAGAAATCAACTATCATTTGACATTTACACCTATTTCTAGTGGCCTCTAAACATATACAAGAGTAAAAGCATGAGCATGAAAGTGAGTGGAAAAAAAAGTGGGAAGCATAGGCGTTTCTGACTGACTGTGAGGACTAGGCCCTTAGAGTTATTTACATACAGAGTTATCTCTGCTCTCTATTTTAATTCATTTTCATTAATATTATTTTATATCTCTTAATAGAGGCAGTGCAACATCCAATAAAAGTTAAAATGTTAAACTATTTGAACATCAAACAAGCAATACTTGTCTGAAGTTATACTGTTATAAATAATACTTCTGGAAGCAAGAAAAATGGTATAATGGAGATATAATGACACTGATTGCTTGGGACAGCTGTGAATCAAAGCTGCCATGCCTCTATACCCAGTATCTTTGGATCCCAGGGGTTTGTTCTTTTTAAACTTTCATACATAAACACAGCAACTGCAATATCATCATGCTCACTATTAATTGTTGTAGCTAATGTCTTACCCTCCTGTAGATACATTACAGCCTGCGCGTAGTTTTGCAGTGCATGATGTGTCCTCCCCAGGCTTCCATAGGCCATAGTCTTTGCTATCAGGTCATTGGTCTGTGCTGCAACACTCAGGTGTTGCTCCTGGAAGACTACTGCCCGTTCGTACTTCCCTAGAGCTTCGTAGGTCAGTCCCAAGTTGCCATAGGCTCGACCCTGGCCCCTGACACATCCAGTCTGTTCTGCTATATCCAAAGCCCTTTGGTGCCACTACAGCAGGAAAAATTAGGTTGCTTAGAGGAGAGGCTTGACAACTGATAAATTCTGTTTTCCCTGTTAATCAGTATAATTAAAGACATTTCATAACAAGGGGGGCTATCCTCGGCACATACAATGATGAATGTGATACAGACCTGTAGAGCTGTCTCGTTGTCTGCCATCAACTGATAGACACCTCCAAGTGCATTGCTTGCCTCTGCCTCCAGGGATTTATCCTGATAGTTCAAACAGAGTTTACCTCATTCTATGGGCATTATGTGTTTTTAATATATACCCCCCCTCCCCATATTAATTATCATATTCAGCAGGGCAAAACAAAATATGAAACAGAAACAAGAACATTTTGCTGGTGAAAACCTACCCCTGCTATGCGTGCAATGTTAAGCTGGTGCTCCAGACAAGAGAGGGCCTGCTCATAGTTGCCCAGCTGGCTATGTAAGGTGCCCAGCTCTCCATAAGCCTGAGCCTTACCTTCTCCTTCACCACCTAGCTCATGAGCTACTACCAACCTCTTCTCAAAACACACCAGTGCTTGCTGGAGACTACCCATGGACCTGAAGTAGGAGAGGGAGGAGAACAAAAAGGAGAGGAAAAAGACCTGGTATGATAATGCATTTTTTCTGCACTTTGCTTGTTCTTGAAAGCAGGCCTCCTGTTTTTGTTGTTTCTGCAACATTTAAAGAAAAGAAGACAAGTTGGTCCATATTAACAGAACATTTTTCTCTTTATATCTACTCAGAGAAAAACTAGAGAAAGAAAGTCTACGAAGGTTTGTTATAAATCTGTACTCTACATTACCATTTCATTCACACTCAAGACAGCAGGAGCAACAGCTGGATAAAGTAAACCCAACGGTAAGCCTTGTTCTTCTGTCAGTGAGCATTACTTATGTTGTATCATATGAGAGTTGCCCACCGTGGGATATGTGTCTGAAAAAAGGCTTTTTGCTTTTAATACGCTGCAGAGTTCTGACTGTATTTATTCTTATTATGACTCTAATTAAAATGTGTATAAAATGCTTGTGGCAAGAAATGCTCATTTAAAACTCTTGCATGAATGCTATTCTGTATTAGAAAGGTGTATCCTAACTAATAGGATAGAACATAAATGAACACAACATACATTTTTACGCTGATGTAAACAGAAGTCTGCAGCACTGTAGGTTTGAATTTATTTCTACATTTAGTGGGAAATCCAGGGGGACTTCAAAACCCTGAAAAATTTCCTAATTTTATTTATCCTCTTACTAGAGTTAGCTGAGAAGGAAAGAAGGAAGAGAAGCAGTTGGTCTATGGAGAATCATTTTAAAATTTAAATGCAAATTTTATTTCAGTAATAGAAACAAAAACAAAAAACAAGACAGGAAATTATAAAATTAAGTTCTGAAATGAAATGATAGTGATATTTAAATTAAACACACTATAGATTATTTCAGCCTTGCTCATTTCAAATGAATTTGGCCAATTAGGATTTATGGGTCATGGCAGACTTAGACTCTCCACCTCCTCATGAGCCCCCTCATACAACACTGTGTATCAGGACAGCAAGTGCAATCTCCTTGTACGTTTCTAGAAACAGAATTTTTATTTAAATCACATATAATGCTTTTTTATGTCTGACTGGAACAGTGCAAGCATCAGTAACAAGAAGATACAGCAAGAAAAGAAGAGCTGGTTTGGAGGTGGTTTGCAAAGTGGCTTGCAGATGCACAGTACCCTAATAGTGTGCCCTGTATTAAATTTATCAAATGCATGTATAGAAGGGTATCGTCTGAGCCATAACCTCTTGTGGTTTAACTTTGAACTAAAACTGTTCTCAATTTGATTTTAGTTTCACCTACCTGTGCGCATTGCCAAGTCCTCTGTAGGCTTTCTCTTGGTCCTGGACATGATTGAGACTCTGACCCACTGCCAGATACTTCTCATAATACTGTATAGCCTCCTCATAATCTCCCAAAACATCATAGCAGTCTGCCAGGTTCCCATAGGCCCTGCCTCTGTCTAGCATGCTCTCAGTTCCACTTAGCTGCTGCAGCATGGCCAGCTGCTGCTCAAAATAACCAATAGCTTCCTCAAACAATCCCATGTTTATCTTGGTGATGCCCATGTTTCCATGGACCTGTGCCTCCAAACGGGCATCCCTGAGCCCCTGTGCCAGGCCCAGCTGGGTCTCATAACACTGGAAAGTTGTAGCATAGTCTCCCAAGGCCATATGAGCAGCTGCTAGGTGGCCAAGAGCACGGCACTCCCCCTGCTGATCACCTAGATCCTTTCGGATGGTCAACTCCTGGCTGTGGAACGACAAGGCCGTATCCAGCTGGCGGAGAAGCCTAGGTGGGAAAAAGTGCAAGAACACTGAATTAAGATGAATCAAGGGAACTAGAGCAAGTCACACATTAGTTATAGCCAACACCTGGTGTCCTTTGTATAGTATGATATTTCATGTGGTTTATTATTTTTAGAGCCAGTCTGTTGCAAAGGATGGATGCTTATATGTTACTTCTCTTTGTTAATAACTTAATAATAAGTTAATACTAAAAGATATGCTTTATTGAAAGATACAGTTTAAATTAATAATTAGTTTTCCAGCTGGGCCCAGTATGCAAAAAGGTACTGTTTTTGGGAAGGACAGAGGAAGCTATTGTGGATAAAAGATTTCTTGGAGTACCAAGCTTAAATGGACCAACTCTGGGAAAACTGAGGTTTTAATTAGTAAGCTGCACCTTGAACTGTAAGTTTAAATTAACTACTATTCATAGGAATTTGTGGAAAGCACAGAACACTTCTATTAACTGCTGAGAATTGGCACAGAATCTCTTGTCAATTGGCTGAGACTTTTTAAACTCACATGTTTTTGGAAACAGGCTTTTTCTTTGTAACTCCAAAGTAAATAGCAGGCATTACAAAGAAAATGGTCTACAAGCAAGTGGCTTTATAAAGGTAAATAAATACATTCTCAAACCGATGTCCCTTTTGCCTCCATAAACTCAGCTGAGCTTTCCCCAATATATTAATTATTCATATTTGATTATAGTTTAGCCCATATGGAAAAGAAATAGTAAAAACTTATATGATTTACTCATGAAAGTGGCCACTTTCATGAGTAAATCATATAAGGCTTACGTGATTTACTCATGAAAGTGGCCACTTTCTCATTACTTTCATACATTGTTTTAGTAAGTATCCAAAACATACAAGTTTCATTATATAATTTTTCAAGGGATCTTATATCTGTTTTCACTCTTATATGCTTTTCATACAAGTTTCACACAAGACAGATACAAAATTTATAAGATTTATATATATCTTTTCCATATGGGAGCAGATAAAATTATCATAACACAACAATATTTAACATCATTTGAAAAGTACATAGTAATAATATTGTGCAGATTTTTGTTTCTTTTATGTAAGCATTAATTAGCAGCTAAATTTCTGCTTTTGTGAAGCACAATCTCTGCAGCTCGATCTGGTAAGTTAATATTTTAGCTCTACAAACTTTCGACTGCCTCCAATAAACAGGAATGGCTATATTACTAAACTTAGGTTTTAAAACAATACAACACATTCATTTGTTCATTTTTTACATGCACTGTTTGTGTGTGGTTAAAACACTGGTTAACCAGTTTATCACCTGTGAACTGAACCAAGTGCTGAATAGGCATCAGCCTCCATCTTCTGATCGTTGACCTTCTGAGCCAAGGTTAATTGCTGCTGGTAGAACTTCACAGCTCCTGGAAAATCACCCCGGCACACGCACACATCACCGAGATTCCCAAAGGCCCTGAAAACTGCCTGCTGACAAATATAATCACACAGATACTGATTAACAACCTCTTTTTGTGCAAAAGACAGAATTTCAAGGTTTATGAAATGAAAACATAATTAACAGGTGACCTGTGTGTTGTCCAGGGCTTGTGCTAAAGAAAGCAGATATCTCTGACATTCCTCTGCTTTGTTGTACTCCCCCAGTGCTTTGTGGGCCAGACCAAGGTTGCAGTAGGCTTTTGCCTGTGCTAATTTGTCCTGGAGATCCTTAGCCAGGGCCAAATCCTGTTCATAATACCTGGAAAATTTTAAACTTTTGTTTTTTATCGTGCATCTTGTTTCGATGTAATATAAAAGCACAAATCCTTAAAATGAGAAATTAAAGTCTCATTAACATCCATCCATCCATCCGTCCATCCACTTTCTGCTGCTGGGCCTGGTTGCGGGGGTTGTAGCCTAAGAAGAGAAGCCCAGACCTCTCTCTCCCCAGCTACCTCCTCCAGCTCATCTGAGGAACATGGGAGCTTTCCAGGCTAGTCAAGAGATGTTGCCCCAGGGCCTTCTCCTGGTAAGACATGCCTGAAAACCTTGGCCAGGAAGCATCCTGAAGGCATTCAAGTCAGATGCCCAAACCTCCTCAGCTGGCTCCTTTCGATGTGGAGGAGTAGTGGATGGATGGATGAATGTATGTATGGAAAACACAACACATGTTTTTCGACATAAGGCCAACGGGGTCATTTTCATTATATGAAGTTCAGTTTTGTAAGATTTATTTAGTCTCTGACCTGACAGCATCTCTGTACTGTCCAAGACAGTAGTGAGCATAACCCAGGTTATGGCAAACTTTGCCTTCTGCTTCGAGGTCCTGCAAACCTGGCGCCAAAACCAGGTACTGTTGGTAGTAGGGCAAGGCCTGAGCATATTCACCTCTCCAGCTGTGAAAGTTACCCAAGTTTGCTGCAAAAGAAAATAACGGTGAGCAATATTTTTCATGTTTCATTTAACTCAACTCAAGTGCATTTATCTCTTGACAGGTTTACCTAAGGCTCTTGCTTCACTTTGAGTGTCTCGCATCTCTCGTGCAATGGTCAGGTGGTGCAGGTAGTGCTGGAGAGCTCGGTCGTGAGCACCCAGCGCTTGGTAGGCCACAGCAAGGTTACCGTGCGTGGATGCCTGAGATGGACGATCGTTCACCTGATAACACAAAGACACATCGTGATTGTGCTTTCCACACAATCGTCCACATGTTTTTTGAAAAGGGTCATAAAATTTACCTCCAGAGAGATTTGCAGCTCTTGTCTGTGGTATTGGACTGCTTGGTCGTACATGCCAAGCGCATGGTAGGCATTGCCCATGTTGCCATAGGCCCTCCCCTGGGCAGCGTAATCACAAAGTTCTTGGACGAAGGACAGGTGGGCTTTGTGGAACTTTAGCGCAGTGTCATACTCTCCCTTCATCTGGTGTATGATGCCTGTGATAGGAGATGAGAGGAGGCAAAAACACAAACTATTGAACTAACAAGGAAACCATTAAGATGCAGGTAAACTCCAAGTTTAATCTCTTTTAGCATACAACATTTGAACGTTCTTGTGATCGGTCATGTTCTCAACTTTAGTCACAACACTAATCCTAACCATATGTTTTAGCAAGTGGCATGGACAAAAACATTTCAATAGGACAAACAAAGTCTATGCAAAGCGCCCAGGTAATACATCTAATCTAGGAAGTCTTGTAGCATGCCAACTACAAGCTGTATCAGGTAATGCTCTTATTAAAATAAAGCTAGTTCATTTCAATTTCTGGCCTCTGGCTGGCAAGTCCATCCTAATGATTGATTTTCCAAGAATTATCTTAATTTTATGTTTCTAACTTGTTTCATTTAAAACAGCACAATACCTAGCCCCATCATTTAAACTCCTCCAAATGTCCATTTCAAGAGGAATGGACTTTGTATACAAAAATGGTCACCACGGCAAAAAGCTGTAATGTTGAAGTGGTCAGACAACTCTTTGATAATTCCAGTTCCAATAAAATCAATATTTAGGTGTGTTAGTTAAAATGATTATTTCCTTTGTCACCAAACCACAAAGACTGGAGGCAACGTTTTTTTAAGAAGAACAAAAATTACATATTCTGAAAGCATACAGTTATTGTTGATCACCCACATCTCGGAGGATCAAGGTCATAAAACCCAGAAAAATCTTCCATGGACATAGGGGAATTTTAAAGTCCAGGCTCAAGGAAGTCAGACAAGTGAAGTTTAAGTCCTCAGTTTTGTGATTTTTTTTAGTCTCCAAGTCTCAAGTCTCCACAGCTCTGTAGAATGGTTTATCCAGCGCTGTTTGGATTTGTAGGATTCATCAAACAGCAATTACTGCACATGTAGGGAGCATGATGAACAGAGTAAATTCCCAAAATGACATTAGGAGTTATAAATATGCAGCATCTGTATGGTGGTGAATATAAATGCCCACATGGTTTCTTGAACTGTAAAAAAATCCTTTTTGAGCAGAGTGGTGAATAATTAAAAAGCTACAGTGGGAAATTCAACAAATCTAATAATATCTGCTGCTGTGTCTCTTCAAACTTTAGTATAACATATGCAGAAATCAGTCTCTCTGTCCAGGGAAAAAGAACTGGGAAAACTTAAGTCCCAGTCGCCTTCCCAACTTCTTCTGTCATGATGTGTCTTTGCTGTCAACAACCCAGTTTATGGAGCCAGAACAGACAAAAGTTGGGAGAGAGAATAGTTAAGGAAGAAACTTGGGGCACAAGAGAGGAGAATGAAAATTTACATTTTATGCTAGTTATTTCCTGTACTCCAAAATATACTACTTGTCACCCTCCTGCATTTAACTGACAACTGTGCACACTGGTTATTTGCAATTTAAAATGTACCTACTTTGCTTTTTTCTTCATTTTCTGTGATACACTCTGCTACAGTGCTGGATACTCAAACTGTGGATATGGCCACATATTGCAAATAATGAGATCAGTGTATCTATAACTAATTCTTTTGAGCCATGTTTTGAACAGTTTTTTTCTATTCTGCATGATATAAGAGTGAAAATCCAGGCTCTCTGGTTGAAATCACAGCCAAAGAGCCTGGATCATACAGAATCCCTGCCCACTTGCTGTTCATGTTTTTATTTATGAGGAGCAGCCAGTCAAAAGAACGTTGGCTAAAAAGGAGGTGCAAGGGAACTGAAATGGCTTATTTTACACAACGGGTGAACTTGGAATTGCACTAAAGCCCAGTATAAGATTAATAATGGTAATTTTGTAAACATGGAATTAGGGATGAGTATCGAAAACCAGTTCTTGTTGAGAACCGGATCCCACTGTTTCAATTCCTTGGAATTGTTTGTCATTTTTGCAAACGATTCCCTTATCAATTCCAGTCGCCCCAAATGATGTCACCACGTTGCGGAGCGTCATTAACCTGGCAGGAAACATGGCGGCTCAAATGCTCAAAAGTTTGATTATACTTTACGAGAACGGATGACAACAGGGCAACTTGCAATACTTGCAAAGTAGATATTTCATTTAAGGGAGGAAACACTACGAATATGCAAAAGCATTTGCTCACAAGACACGCGATGACCTTAAATAAATGTCGTGGGTTTTTTTTCGTTTTTTTTTTTCCGTTTTTTTGCCTGTCCCGTTTGGCTCTTTTGCCATCAGAATTGTTGTCTAAAGGCAAAGAAAGATGCCCAACGGATTTACTTTACCAAATTGACCATCCCAGCCTTGCC